ACGACAACAGGAAAATGCAAACTCCCTTCCTGTAAGCTTTTTCACCCTGAAATGTGTACCTTTTCAGTACAGGAAAGACTGTGCTATAACTTAAATTGCCAGGCACACCATCTAAAGGGGACAAAAAGATACAAAACATCCAGGCCATGGGAAAACCTGGGTAGCCACAGCCACTCAAGAGGGAGAGGTTTTTTAGTGCCAGGAAGGAAAAAAACTGGCAGGAAATGGCAGAAATTGTACACCAAATCCAGTCATTCCTGGAGTGGAACCACAGTCGATGGCTTCCACTCCAAACCAACAGATACAGATACTAATGCCGGAAAAAAAATCCCCCCCCAGTACCAACAATACCACCAGTCCGATGACATTCTTCTTTGTAAATATACAGGGTCTAAAGCCAGCAACAAACAACAAAATACCTTTCATCCGTGGACTGCTTGCAGAGGCAAAGGCAATGTTCGCGGCTTTCACTGAGACCCACATAAAGGATCACTTAGACAACGAAATATGGATCCCAGGTTACAACCTATACAGATGTGACAGAGTGAACAGGCAAAAGGGGGGGGTTGGCCTGTACATTGCAGAGTCACTTGTTTGCACAGAACTGCTCAATGCCTCAAATGATGTAGTGGAAGTTTTAGCAGTAAAGGTCGAGAACCAAAACCTAGTCATTGTGGTAGTCTACAAGCCTCCGGATGCAACATCCCAGCAATTCCAGGAACAGCTGTTAAAAATTGACCACTGTCTGGAAAATCTTCCAGCTCCTGCACCCAACATCTTGCTCCTGGGGGATTTCAACTTAAGGCACCTAAAATGGAGGAATATAGCAAATAATATTGTTGCAGTAATAACACCAGGAGGCAGCTCTGATGAAAACTCACACTCACATGAGCTTTTAAATCTCTGCACAAAATTCAATTTAAACCAGCAAATAATAGAGCCTACTAGAATGGAGAATACACTAGACCTCATCTTCACTAACAATGATGATCTGATAAGAAATGTCACCATATCAAAAACAATATACTCAGATCACAACATAATTGAGGTTCAGACATGTATGCGCAGAGCCCCAGACTGACAAAATGAGATTAGTCATGAGGGAGCATTCACCAAATTCAACTTCAATAACAAAAACAATGTGGGACCAAGCAAACCAAGTCCTAGCCAATATAAGCTGGGAAGATATACTAAGCAACACAGACCCAAACTTATGCCTAGAACAGATTAACTTGGTGGCACTCGATGTATGCACAAGACTTATTCCTCTAAGAAAAAGGAGGAGTAGAAGTAAAATAGAAAGAGACAGGCGCTCTCTTTACAGGCGACGGAAAAGAATAACAGAGCGGCTAAAAGAGGTCAATCTATCTGAAATGCGTAGGGAGACATTGGTCAGAGAAATAGCAAACATCGAACTTAAGCTAAAGCAATCTTATAGGAGTCAGGAATCGCGGAAAGAACTAAAAGCCATAAATGAAATCGAAAGAAACCCAAAGTATTTCTTCTCCTATGCCAAATCAAAGTCGAGAACAACGTCCAGTATTGGGCCCTTACTTAAACAAGATGGGTCCTACACAGATGACAGCAAGGAAATGAGTGAGCTACTCAAGTCCCAATATGACTCAGTTTTTAGCAAGCCACTAACCAGACTGAGAGTCGAAGATCAAAATGAATTTTTTATGAGAGCCACAGAATTTGGTTAACACAAGCCTATCTGATGTTATCCTGATGCCAAATGACTTCGAACAGGCGATAAATGACATGCCCATGCACTCTGCCCCAGGGCCAGACTCATGGAACTCCGTGTTCATCAAGAACTGCAAGAAGCCCCTATCATGAGCCCTTACCATCCTATGGAGAGGGAGCATGGACACGGGGGTCGTCCCACAGTTACTAAAAACAACAGACATAGCCCCACTCCACAAAGGGGGCAGGAAAGCAACAGCAAAGAACTACAGACCGATAGCACTAACATCCCATATCATAAAAATCTTTGAAAGAGTCCTAAGAAGCAAGATCACCACCCATCTAGAAACCCATCAGTTACACAACCCAGGGCAACATGGGTTTAGAACAGATCGCTCCTGTCTGTCTCAACTATTGGATCACTACGACAAGGTCCTAGATGCACTAGAAGACAAAAGAATGCAGATGTAATATATTACAGACTTTGCAAAAGCCTTCGACAAGTGTGACCATGGCGTAATAGCGCACAAAATGCGTGCTAAAGGAATAACAGGAAAAGTCGGTCGATGGATCTATAATTTCCTCACTAACAGAACACAGTAGTAGTCAACAGAGTAAAGTCCGAGGCAGGCACGGTGAAAAGCTCTGTTCCACAAGGCACAGTACTCGCTACCATCTTGTTCCTCATCCTCATATCTGACAGACAAGGATGTCAGCCACAGCACCGTGTTTTCCTTTGCAGATGACACCCGAATCTGCATGACAGTGTCTTCAATTGCAGACACTGCAAGGCTCCAGGCGGACATCAACCAAATCTTTCAGTGGGCTGCAGAAAACAATATGAAGTTCAACGATGAGAAATTTCAATTACTCAGATATGGTAAACACGAGGAAATTAAATCTTCATCAGAGTACAAAACAAATTCTGGCCACAAAATAGAGCGAAACACCAACGTCAAAGACCTGGGAGTGATCATGTCGGAGGATCTCACCTTCAAGGACCATAACATTGTATCGATCGCATCTGCTAGAAATATGACAGGATGGATAATGAGAACCTTCAAAACGAGGGATGCCAAGCCCATGATGACACTCTTCAGGTCACTTGTTCTATCTAGGCTGGAATATTGCTGCACACTAACAGCACCTTTCAAGGCAGGTGAAATTGCTGACCTAGAAAATGTACAGAGAACCTTCACGGCGCACATAACGGAGATAAAACACCTCAATTACTGGGAGCGCTTGAGGTTCCTGAACCTGTATTCCCTGGAACGCAGGCAGGAGAGATACATGATTATATACACCTGGAAAATCCTAGAGGGACTAGTACCGAACTTGCACACGAAAATCACTCACTACGAAAGCAAAAGACTTGGCAGACGATGCAACATCCCCCCAATGAAAAGCAGGGGTGTCACTAGCACGTTAAGAGACCATACAATAAGTGTCAGGGGCCCGAGACTGTTCAACTGCCTCCCAGCATACATAAGGGGGATTACCAACAGACCCCTGGCAGTCTTAAAGCTGGCACTGGACAAGCACCTAAAGTCGGTTCCTGATCAGCCGGGCTGTGGCTCGTACGTTGGTTTGCGTGCAGCCAGCAGTAACAGCCTGGTTGATCAGGCTCTGATCCACCAGGAGGCCTGGTCACAGACCGGGCCGCGGGGGCGTTGACCCCCGGAACTCTCTCCAGGTAATATAACCAGGAATGACTGATCATGGTTTACAGCATCCCAATAATTTAATCAGATCTATTAAAAACCCATAAAACAGAAGGGGAGAGGGGCCTCACCCATCCTCAGGAATGTTGGCATAAATCAAATATTTCTGCTACTTTGAGCTGAATTTCAAGCTAATTCCAGTAGTGAAACCAATCAAAATCATCTGTATTTCAGTAGTATGTCTTTCTACAAAAAAAGATATCAAAAAACCACCAATAAAGCCATAAAAACCTCAGTCGCTTGTTTTCCGATCATGCACTGCATGAGGCAGGTTCTTCTTTCTTTTTACTGTGCACTCACCACAGACCCCAAAATTTAGTGCTCGCTGCTTATCTGAGCGAGCTGAGCTCATGACGTAGAACTACGTCAGGGACCCTGGCCTCAATGACGCAGTTCAATGTGACAGACAGTTAAAGGTTTAAAAGTTACTAAACCATAGTCTACATCTAATCTCTGCAAATGTCTTAAAGAGCCCAGTGACCTAATTGCAGTAAAAATATGAATGGGCATCTCTAGTCGAGCAATTTATCTAAAAGTCACTTTGTATCCTGTGGGTAAGGAACCCATTATCATGGGAACAATGTAGAGTTCAAAATGTTCAACAATATTGGAAAGGTAAGCAGATAGACAAAGAAGCAAACCAATAGGGCATCACCTTTAGAATACAAAAATAAAATTCAAACTGACTAAAACAGAATAAGATATAGAATCTGAAACATCCACATTCATTCTCAGTTCATGGTCACTTTGTACTGGCACTCTCTGACACATGCACATCCATCACATAGTAAGACTTGAACCTCTACCTTCAGTGTCTGACATTAGTACTTCTTGCTGATCTGCAATGAAAAAGTTCCTAAACCAACAAAATAAACCTTATGAACTGGAAAGGTCAAAACCAAACAAATGAACTAAAGTACTCCTCCCACCATCCCAAAGATCACACAAAAAATGGCATACAGATGTTCTACTAACTAATCTTAGGAAAATGGAGACATGGAGGAGAAAATGAAGAGACCAAGAAAACAATATTTAAGTAAAATGATAAAAGAATAAGATGCTTCCTCTCCATGAGGAAGTGGAACAGAATTCCTCCTCCTCAAGCCATGCATGTCATAAGAGGCAACTAAAATGCCTGGGAGAAAGGGGCTAGTAACCCCTTCTCCTGTATACATTAATACATTTAAAATGAAAAACTTGCGTTTTTCTTTTTAGGTCACCGTGCCTCAGTGGGATATGACCGGTTTGTTGGGGAGGGGGAGATGCTTCCTGACAAATACACTGGATTATCAAACTTAGTGGACTGAGAGAAATCGAAGCAACAGGCATCACAACCACTGAAAACTAACAAACTACTCATGCATTTGTGACAAATATTTTGCAGGCCAGCTTTTATCAATACTGCAAGTTTTCACTGTGTAGACTAAGCTTTTTAGTCAATATCAGTAAAATCATGTTCTGCACATGTCTTATTTACCATTATCAATGGTGCAACATTTGGACCCTATTTATATATTAAAAATGAAAAATAAAGCATAGTAACTGCTAACAAGTTAACTTTTCCAATATATTATTTTTCCTTGTATAACACACCTTTTTTCCTGAGCTCCGGCTTTCCCTTCTTTACTGTGGCTGCCACAATGTCGCCAACAGCAGCAGCAGGCAAACGATTCAGACGACCTCTTACCCCTTGAACAGCAATTATGTAGAGATTTTTAGCCCCTGTAAAGAAAAATTATAAATTACATTCTGGAACAATTTTAGGCCAATCAAACCATGAATTGTTTTTCCAAGCGAGAAGCATTCATAAAGATTTCAGGACACCTAGAGCAGTGATACAGAGTATTAGTGCAGGTTTAAGTAGCTTTGGTAAAGAATGGAAACCAAATATTTAATAAATAACATAACAAAAAGGCACAATACCATGACTGGAACAATACACAAATATTTAATTACATCTTTCATCACTGTCGTACAACAGGTCCCTAAAACAGCAAAATTTTGCTCAAGCATTTAAAAATTATAAATCATAATACTGCATTATGATTTAACCTTTAATGACAAAAAAAGTAACTACAGAATAGTGTTTATGATACTACTGAGCTTAAAAAGTGGATTCATGTAAAGTATTACTGATCTTTAAATCAACACAGCATGTTCCCTACCAAAATGCAAGTGTTCTAAGTTCGTGCAATTAATAAAGACTATTTAATTCACCAAAAATTAATTGTGAAATATTTGCCACATATAAACTCAAAAAAAGTATATTTAGTAGTACTACATATTTTACACTTATAAATTTGATGGAACTCAAAAGGACATAAGAACAGTGAAGCGAAGCACTGAAGTAGGCCTACTGGTTTGTCTCACAAAATCACTCCTACTCATACCTGTCCAGCTGATCTAGTTTGTTCCATTCATCCACAATATTGCCAAATCAGGCATTCCTCTGTTCTTTGTCTAATTCATTGTTACAAGTCCAGTCTTAATTAGATATTGTCAACTTGCCATTTATATACTTCATTATAGTTTTTAATTAGTACACTTCAATCATATTGCCCCCTAATTTTGTCTTTCTAGAGGGCAAATTCAGTATCTTCTTCACTGAATTTATTATCTATTAACTGGGTCAACACGTGCAGAAAACTGGGCTGGTAGCCACCAGGCGAGTGCACCTGAACTACCTATTAGGTGGTTACACTACCCAACAGGGTACATAAGAAAGAAAACCAAGTACAGTGGACCCCCGGTTTACGATCAGCTCCCAATGCGACCAATTATGTAAGTGTATTTATGTAAGTGCGTTTGTACGTGTATGTTTGGGGGTCTGAAATGGACTAATCTAATTCACAATATTCCTTATGGGAACAAATTCGTTCAGTAATGGCACCTGAACATACTTCTGGAATGAAATAATATCGTAAACCGGGGGTCCACTGTATTCTACTTAACAAGGAGAGAAACTTATCTTTAGGTCACTATTTATTCCCACACATTTATTTATGTAGCTTATCATGATCCACCACTTTCAAAAACTTGTGTGTGAAACCAATAAGTTGTTCAGAAAACTCTCAAATTGTTAGGACATTGGTCAAATTATTTATATGAAGGTAGCTCCAATTGCATCACACAATCACAGAAATGATTCCAGTAACTTGCCCACATGCTGAAATCATGCAATTTTTTAAATTTAACTAGTCTCTACATACCATACCATGGGCGGGGATAGAACCCGCTGTCAGTTATAAAACTCCAGACCAATGAGCTAGTTTTATAACTCTCTGATCACGGATTCTATCCCCGCCCGTGGTAAGGTTTGTTTGTCATCGTGTCATTATAATTTCATGAGTTAGTTTCTACATGTCTCAAAAAACTCTTGAAAATTGTCAAAGGCAATTAAGTAGTATTGTTCAAATTTGTCCTGTCAGTTTTAAGAATACTATATTGGTCTCTGACCAGGACTCTAAAATTGAGAAGGCAATTTTAAGAAAAAGAACATTCATGAAATGTAAGAAAGTAAAGGGTACAATGTTAGTACAAGTTTGTAATATTTGGCCATCATCTTACACGACCATGAAACAAAAAGACATGCAATTTTGCCAGTGCAAAATGTTCAGCAGACTTCCAATTCACACTTGTGACAGTACAGGAGTAACTCCCCGATAGCTGAAGTCTACAAATCTATTCATTACCTGAGAGGTAGTCATTGATATTTCATAATTTTAGTCCTCTATAATTATTCAAATTTATGTTCATACAAGTAAAAAACAAGCATAACTCAAAAGCCTACATTTATTGGTAAGTTGTCTTACATTACAGTGGACTATCTTCAAATCTTAGCCCTATATACCTGGAAGAAGCCTTAGGAATTGACTTTTAAAAAGATTTCCTAGCAGTTTAACATTTACAGTATTTTTATCCCTTCTTGGATTTGTGCCAGAGTCGGTGATTACCCAGACGTCTGCTTGTGATGTCCTAGGCTCACAGCAACTGCATGGGTCACCTCACCAGCCCATGGTAGACCTACACAGCTTAAACGAGGACTCAGTCATAGCTATACTGTTAACAATACATATCATTCTACCCTGAAACTCCTCCAGCATATGCAATGTGTGTTCCACAACCCAGAATCCTACACACCTAGCATCTGTTAACCCTTAAACTGTCCAAACAGATCTATGTTCACATGCGTAGTGCTCCAAAAGTAGATCTGTTTTTTTTACATATTTTCAAATGTAACAAAAAAAAAAAAAAAAAAAAAAAAAAAAAAAAAAAAAAAGATCAAAGTTTTTTTTATACGTTTTCAAATGTAAAAATAACAAAAAGATCTACTTTTTTTACATACTTTCAAATGTTGAAAAAATGTAGATCTACATTTGGACAGTTTAAGGGTTAACATAAACATAATGGTGGTAGCTAAGATGACCCTTTTTGTGCCTGTAAGTGGCTCATTTCTTTTACAAAGATGGTATATTTTTATCTATTTAGGGTCTATTATGTATGATCTATTTCTGAGGAATATATGATGCTTGCAGTCAGTTCAGCCACTTATTAGGCTGTCTTCAACTGCCCCTTAGAAAGTCTATCACCAACTGTGAAAATACTATACCACGATCAATTTAGCAGAAGTAAAATTTCACTAACATGTAGCAGCGCTGTATAGTCCTTGTGGCTTAGCGCTTCTTTTTGATTATAATAATAATAATAATAATAACTAACATGTAACATTTTTCTGTCTTGAGAATTAAATAATGTTATCCCAAAATACTTTACCATGACTCTTGTTTAAGTGTGGGAAGTCTCTATAACACAAACAAGATTTGCTTAGGTCCTACACAAAACTATTTCATAAATTGTTTGTTCCTTCAGACTTTATACATTTTTCTGGCACAATTAAAACTTCCCTGGCCATTCCACCACTCCGCTTCTATTTGTAAGAAATAACTTCAGATCCACATCGCACTCAACAGGAGTGTTCTAACAAAAATTAAACCACAACATAGTGCCTGCAAAGGCAATCTGCTTGTTTTATTTCTTGCTCCGGCATAGATTTCAAAGCAAGTGATCTTTTGAATGCTTTACCTCGCCAGTCATCAAGCATGATGACCCAAAAAAGGAAACTCACCTGCCATTATTCATTCAATTGGTGTCTAGTCAGAGGTGTGAAAACTTCACATTTCAGATTAAACTCCAGTTGAGACATCTCCACCCCTCCTTCAGTGCAACCACTGCAGTCCCACCTTCAGGACTCAACTCCAGCTAACTGGTTGCCCTGGACTCCCTCATAACTGTTACCTTGCTCACATTCCAACAGCACATCCATTAAAAATATTTTTTTTTACTAATTAAAACTGTACAGTACATACCATACTAAATATTAGAATACAGGAACATAATAGCGACTCACGAAATTGTAATGACACTATCGTAAACAAACCATACCATGGGCAGGAACTGAACCCCAACCTGTGGTATAATAGAAGAGTACTGTAGTAGTTCTGGACTGTGTTATGTATCAGGATGCAGACAAGTAGCCTTTAAGAGATCATCAGTGGCAGGACTTACCACATTCGTCAGTCTTTAAACTAATTTTCTTCTGGAAATGCACAAGTGATAGAGAATTTTACTGTACAACTATGGAGCAAAGTAATGCTACCGGACTGTCCATGACTGCAAGTAAACTTGGTACAACTAACAAATACATACATGTAAATGGCAAACTAATTTCAACGTTGATGGGGTGCAAAATAATATACCGCATAGTTTCCCAAAAATGCGAGAGAAGTTATTTTATAATTATCAATTTAATTTTGCTTACTTCCCTTTATCACTATACCAAGCCACTCCAGTGTAGTTCATAATCTAGTCTTAAAAGTTACCCAAATTTATCACTTCAATGATGCTGCTTGTCCTACAAGCTAATGACAAACCACCACTTTTCTAGATCCTTTCTAAAATTAAATTTCTCAATTTACATTCAATACTGAGTGCTTTATCAGTGTCCTATTCATGTTTCCTAAAGTGTTAACTTACTGCCTTTATCCTATCTTTGTTGCAGAGGTTTTATATACACAAGATTAACTTTGTAATTCTGCTTTAATATTTTCTTGCCCATTTATGTTCATTTAGTAATATGGGGATCATAATTAATCTGTATAATCTGAAAGAAGCCTTACCCAAGAAATATTCAAGTTGGGACTTCTAAAATTTCTAGTTCTTGATATAGAGCCAATTAGACTATTAGCTTTATCACAAACACTTAGGCATTGGAATCTTGACTTTCTGCTAACGACCTGAATTCCCTCAAGCAAGCACTCTTCTGCAAGGCAGGTTGAATGATACGTAAAATTACTATATAAATCAGGGGTTGTCCCAAGAGCAGTTGGAGGGAGTGAGAGAGTTAGGTGGTAGGAAATTGAACATCCTGCAGACGTAATCTCTATTTCTGCAAGTACATGTACTAGGTATACAGATCTGGCTGACATCAATGATATACTACTACATATAAAGTCTCTTGTTATGCTGAGCATTTCAGACAAATTAAGTCGATTTTGTTCACAGGATGAGACCCACACCAGTCGACTAACACCCAGGTACTACTTATTTTACTGATAGGTGAATATGGACAGCTTGTCAGCATAGTTGCGCTGGTGTTTTAATGTTTCCACCCATACCAGGGATCAACCCCCAGACCTAAGCGTGAGAGCTGAGTATTATGGCAATTGAGCTACGGGACACCTCGTGTGTGCGTTTATTTTGCCACTGGGCCAAGTGGCAGAAGCTCTTGCTTCACACACCAAGGGTCTGGGTTCGATTCCTACAATGGTTGAAACATTGGACGTGTTTCCCTACACTGTTTGTCCATGTTCACCCATCAGTAAAAATGGGTACTTGGGTGTTACTTGACTACTGTGGGTCACATGCTAGGACAAAATTGACCTAATTTGCCCGAAATGCTGTGCATAACAAGCAGCTTTCTATGTAGTAATGTCATTGATGTCAGCTAGGCCTGTATACCTTGTACATGTACTTGTAAAAATAATTATTTACATAGAAAAGTGGGTTTTAAGGATTTGATGACATTCTGTGAGTGAAGTAATTTTTTGAAGGAAATCAAGGAAAAGTTAGCCGAATTTGAGTCCTTGGAGGGAATAAGTGCCTGTACTCTGAAGGAGGGGTGGGCTAAGTTGCAGACAGTCATTTCCATTTTTGAACTGCAATACTGAATCTGTGCCCTTCTGATAAGACAGCTATTGAATCAATCTTTTTTTCCTTTGGGGAGATGTCACCTTATCTTACCTTGATGAAATATGGCAGATGGTTAAAAAAAAAACTGGAAACAATGGAAAACAATCTAGATCTGAAGAAATTATAAGGGGCATCAATACAAGGTACAATTAAGAATTGCATTAATTAAAATTTATAAGTACAATTTTTGTATATAGAGACACTATATATGTACCTGTGTTGTCTGCACAGCTCATGACTGCACCCACAGGCAGACCGAGGGAAATGCGGAACTTCCCGCCACAAGACGCTCCACGTCCTGACGAGAGAAAATTAATCAAACTTCACAAAGAATGATTAAAAACAGCCTATGTATATAAGATTATATTTTTCAAAGGATTACTTCTTTATAATAATGTTTCCAAGACCATAAGAACGGAGGAACACTGCAGGAGGCCTGTTGGCCCATACTAGGCAGGTCCTTTACAATTCATCCCACTAACAAAACATTTGCCCAACCCAATTTTCAATGCCACCCAAGAAATAAGCTCTGATGTGAAAGTCGCACTCAAATCCAACCCCTCCCACTCGTGTACTTATCCAACCTAAATCTGAAACTACCCAAAGTCCTAGCCTCAATAACCCAACTAGGTAGACTGTTCCACTCATCAACTACCCTATTTCCAAACCAATACTTTCCTATGTCCTTTCAAAATCTAAACTTATCTAACCATACCCCCGGCCGGGATTGAACCCGTGGTCATAGAGTCTCAAAACTCCAGCCCCCAGCCCATTACTGCGGGTTCTCTCTTGGAGAGACATCCTCAAGACCTTATTAATATCCCCTTTATTAATACCTATCTTCCACTTATACACTTCGATCAGGTCTCCCCTCATTCTACGTCTAACAAGTGAATGTAACTTAAGAGTCTTCAATCTTTCTTCATAAGGAAGATTTCTAATGCTATGTATTAATTTAGTCATCCTACGCTGAATGTTTTCTAACGAATTTATGTCCATTCTGTAATATGGAGACCAAAATTGAGCTGCATAATCTAGGTGAGGCCTTACTAATGATGTATAAAGCTGCAGTATGACCTCTGGACTTCTGTTGCTTACACTTCTTGATATAAATCCCAGTAATCTATTTGCCTTATTACGTACGCTTAGGCATTGCTGTCTTGGTTTAAGGTTGCTGCTCACCATAACCCCCAAGTCCTTTTTGCAATCTGTATGGCTAAGTTCTACATCATTTAACTTGTAAGTACTAGGGTTATGGGCACTCCCAAGCTTCAGAACCTTGCATTTATCTACATTGAACTGCATCTGCCACTTTTCTGACCAAGAATAGAGTTTGTTTAAATCCTCCTGAAGTTCCATAACATCTACGTTTGAATCAATTATCCTACATATCTTTGTGTCATCGGCGAATTTGCTCATATCACTAGTAATTCCCTCATCAAGATCATTGATATATATTATAAACAACAACAAGACCAGTTACAGTACTGAAAATTCTACAAAATAACTTTTGCAAAAAATTCCTTTTGTCAACATACAGAAGCAATTTTTGCAGGATGTTTACTTAGATACATACAAGTACAATTATTCAAATTTAGATTACAATTATCATACATAGTAACATGTATAAGGTACTCACCAGGATAACCCCAAAAAGTTAAACTTATTTCCATTTAGTTCCCTTTAATTTCTTATTATTTAAAGCTTAACTATAAAATACAGCAGAATATTTTGGGAAGTTCAAAAACTACTAGAGCAAAAATCTTTGGATCAAGTTCTGAGGGGAAAAAAAAAAAAATGGCACAGTAGTAGGCCTTCTGGACCATGCTAGGTCAAGCCTACTAATCCAACCATTCACACATGAAATTGTCAAGACATTCAAAACTAATAAGTGTACCAGCCATTACTGTATGCCTCCATTTATTAGCTTTACCAAAATTGCCACTTTTTAACATCAGCTAAGTTAAACCGCTCTTTTAAAATTTTCTCATCAAACTTGTAGTGAATGTTTATAAATCATTTTGTTAGTCTAAACAATCATGACAGTCAACAAAACATTGCTCATCAGCAAGTCAAATAGTAAAAACAAATTTCAGATTGCTACTAAAAAAAAAAAAAGGGGGGGGGGGAGGGGGGTTGAAAACAATGTACACAGCCACATAACTACATTTTAAACTTAAGTTGAAATTTCAATTTTTGTAGTAATGCAGCAAGTATTATAGTAGATAATGCAAGTCCAGTAATGCTGACCTTCACACTCTGCCCCTGCTCTGCCCTCTTGTATTATCTAACTCAACTGTAACTGTGGTCTTTGCCGTTTGTCTTATAAACTCAATAACAAGGAACCAGGCAACAGGTCCTCCCCCATCCCCTCTCATACCTAACAGTGATGAAGGCTAGCAGACCACACATGTAAGAACCCTGAATAACTACTTTATGTTAACGTATATCTTAACATAAGAACGAAGAAACACTGCAGCAGGCCTACTGGCCCATGCGAGGCAGGTCCAAGTCTCCTACCGGCCCATGCGAGGCAGGTCCAAGTCTCCTACCGGCCCATGCGAGGCAGGTCCAAGTCTCCTACCGGCCCATGCGAGGCAGGTCCAAGTCTCCTACCGGCCCATGCGAGGCAGGTCCAAGTCTCCTACCGGCCCATGCGAGGCAGGTCCAAGTCTCCTACCGGCCCATGCGAGGCAGGTCCAAGTCTCCTACCGGCCCATGCGAGGCAGGTCCAAGTCTCCTACCGGCCCATGCGAGGCAGGTCCAAGCCTCCTACCGGCTTAAGCCAATTCACCCAACCTAGTCAGGTCAGGTCACCTACTTTTCTATAATAACTACCTTTACACATCTTTATTACATACAGTACTTTCATGCTAAGAACCTGTCACCTGCCTTGTAAATAGGTACCACATTTGCCATTTTCCACCTATTAAGCACTATGCCAGTCTGTACTGATATGTTGACCCCTCAGAAAGGTTCCTTGATGTTGGTGAGGGGCTCTTGATTTAGGGAATTGGATCTGTGCTCCAGTTCCCCGAATTAAGCCTGAATGCCTTCCACATCCCCCCCCCAGGCGCTGTATAACCCTACGGGTTTAGCGCTTCCCCTTGATTATCGGTAGATCGGTTGTAGTGATATATTGAAAAAAATTAGCCAAAGGTTTGCTAAGTTCCTCTTAACATTCCTTGAACATCCTTGCAAACAGTTCATCAGGACCTGTGGATCTGTTAGGTTTTAGTTTCTATATTTGCCTAAGAACAATGTTATACTTATGACCATAATTGTACATAGTTTATCATCATCCTGTTCTATATAATTTACTATTTCTGGAATATCGTAAGTATTTTCCTGTGGCTAGGCCTACCAACAACCTATAACAAACTTTAGACCTAAGATGCAATAATTAACATTATTATTATTATATACCAGCAATAATGATAATAGAACAATATAAGGTTTAAGGTAATTTACTGAAGACGTTTCGCCCACTTAAGACTTTACCCAACAATCGGGACTTTATCAATTCCCACAAAATCCCTGGCGGGCGAAACGTCTTTTCCTAAAGCCATAAATAATATATTGTCTATTTAACAAATATTTAACTCAAATATTAACAAATGTTATTACACGAAATATATCCACTAATTCTAGTCACTAGTCAACAGAATATCTCTACGTACAGTGGCTTTGTTAAAATGGCTTACAGTAGCCTTTCAATTTACTGTACCACTTATTTATTATGAATTGATATTACTATTATTATTGTGGAATATTTTCTAATTGGTCACTAACACTCGTCTCTGGGAACCAACACACCTCCCGCAAAACACAAAATCCTCCCTCCATCACGGGCTTCTATGGATCAAAACCATGGCGGGGGAGAAGGTGAACAATATATCTTCCCCACCAAATCGCCATCACACGCCGTAATTGACGGATGATATGGAAATAGAGAGATAAAAGTACAGCAAGTCACCCACCTCTCTTCGACATGGCTGCTGTGATGAAGAAGTGCGCCCGCGCGCCCGCACGCACTCTCACACACAAGGATCACTATTCCAAACATTTCCACCATATTTTTCCACTTTTATAACCTCCTGCTTTATTAAAATTCGTTTAAATTCATGTTCCAATTAATATAACTCTAATAACAACGTATACATGGGTTGAACGTTAAATATGGAATCATCCGTAATGCATTTTCTCCCACTTTTATAACCTGCTTTATCAAAATTCTCTCTAACTTCTATTCCATTTAATATAATCTTTCAAAAAGCAACATTATATATCCCTCTAGCACACAAGGATTACTAAACCAAACTTTTATTTTTACCATATTTACTCACTTTTATAGCATCCCACTTTTTGAAAATTCACATCAACTCATATTCTGCTTAATATAACTCTAATAACAACCTCGTATATCATTAAAACACTAATATAAATTATATTTAGATATCTGCTTTAGTAAAATATAAACATTATTTCTACTTTTTCTAAGTTTTATAAGCTCCGGGTTTATCAAAATTCCCAAAAATTGTTGTTCCACCTGATATAACACTTATTACAATGTTATATATCATTAATACTCCAAATATACCAATATATTTTCATATCTGCTGAATTTCCTCATAATTAGTACTAATTAATGGTCTTCATCATTCTATATAAGTTATATGAGCTAGATTACTTATTTACTTATATATTTACTTACATATTTACTAATATTATTAATATTTACATAGCATCACAAACTCCATAAATTCGTTAATTACAAGAATTCACAATTGCTGAATTTTCTCAATACAACAACGACGCACCTCACACGTGACTTTAATAACCTTCATAAATTACAATAAAAGTAATAAAAGCTACAAGTAACCCCAGAATATTCTTACGTTAGTTTCAAAAAAGTAAATTTAGTCTACGTAAACTACCCAGCCATTTTAGTTTGTTTCTCTTGTGTTTACCTTCCCTTCCCGGGTGATTCTCTGTTATTTTTGCTTATTTCTCCTTTATTCTTTATTCGTTTCACTTGGCAGACACTAAACATGATTATACTCACACGTAGGCGCATTTAGCTGTGTAATTTATGGGTAATTACTAGGAATAATTAGGGAAAATAGAGAAACAACAGTCTACGTGGACCACACAGCCATGTTGAGGCCCGAGGATGGTGCTTCCGTGGATTTTATATTGTATGTTTTGGGTTATCGGAGAGCTCTTGATCCGAGGAATTTGAGTCCCCTCCACTTCCTTGGATCGACCCTGGGCGTCTCCCAGTCCCCCCAGGGCGCTGTGTGGTCCCTGTGGGTATAATGCTTCCTAGATAAATTACGTTCAGTTTCTTATATTCGTAGTGAAGCGCTAAACCGACAGGGGTCATAAGCGCTGCTACGTTCAGTCCACATATGAAGGTTCTTGATCCGAGGAACTGAGGTAGCTTTCACTTTCCTCGTATCAAAAAGACTGACTCACATTCGAAGTAAAGGTCTCCCAGACCAGTGCTTCTCCCAGACCAGTGCTTCTCCCAGATCTGTGCTTCTCCCAGACCAGTGCTTCTCCCAGACCAGTGCTTCTCCCAGACCAGTGCTTCTCCCAGACCAGTGCTTCTCCCAGACCAGTGCTTCTCCCAGATCTGTGCTTCTCCCAGACCAGTGCTTCTCCCAGATCTGTGCTTCTCCCAGACCAGTGCTTCTCCCAGACCAGTGCTTCTCCCAGATCTGTGCTTCTCCCAGACCAGTGCTTCTCCCAGACCAGTGCTTCTCCCAGACCAGTGCTTCTCCCAGACCAGTGCTTCTCCCAGACCAGTGCTTCTCCCAGATCTGTGCTTCTCCCAGACCAGTGCTTCTCCCAGACCTGTGCTTCTCCCAGACCAGTGCTTCTCCCAGACCAGTGCTTCTCCCAGACCAGTGCTTCTCCCAGATCTGTGCTTCTCCCAGACCAGTGCTTCTCCCAGACCAGTGCTTCTCCCAGACCAGTGCTTCTCCCAGATCTCTGCTTCTCCCAGACCAGTGCTTCTCCCAGACCAGTGCTTCTCCCAGACCAGTGCTTCTCCCAGATATGTGCTTCTCCCAGACCAGTGCTTCTCCCAGATCTGTGCTTCTCCCAGACCAGTGCTTCTCCCAGACCTGTGCTTCTCCCAGACCAGTGCTTCTCCCAGATCTGTGCTTCTCCCAGACCAGTGCTTCTCCCAGACCAGTGCTTCTCCCAGACCAGTGCTTCTCCCAGATTTGTGCTTCTCCCAGACCAGTGCTTCTCCCAGACCAGTGCTTCTCCCAGATCTGTGCTCCCAGACCAGTGCTTCTCCCAGACCAGTGCTTCTCCCAGACCAGTGCTTCTCCCAGACCTGTGCTTCTCCCAGACCAGTGCTTCTCCCAGAGCTGTGCTTCTCCCAGACCTGTGCTTCTCCCAGACCAGTGCTTCTCCCAGACCTGTGCTTCTCCCAGACCAGTGCTTCTCCCAGACCTGTGCTTCTCCCAGACCAGTGTTTCTCCCAGAGCTGTGCTTCTCCCAGACCGGAGCTTCTCCCAGAGCTGTGCTTCTCCCAGACCAGTGCTTCTCCCAGAGCTGTGCTTCTCCCAGACCAGTGCTTCTCGCAGAGCTGTGCTTCTCCTAGATCTGTGCTTCTCCCAGACCAGTGCTTCTTCCAGACCTGTGCTTCTCCCAGACCTGTGCTTCTCCCAGACCTGTGCTTCTCCCAGACCAGTGCTTCTCCTAGACCTGTGCTTCTCCCAGAGCTGTGCTTCTCCCAGACCTGTGCTTCTCCCAGACTTGTGCTTCTCCCAGACCAGTGCTTCTCTCAGACCTGTGCTTCTCCCAGACCAGTGCTTCTCCCAGACATGTACTTCTCCCAGACCAGTGCTTCTCCCAGACCTGTGTTTCTCCCAGATCTGTGCTTCTCCCAGACCAGTGCTTCTCCCAGACCTGTGCTTCTCCCAGACCAGTGCTTCTCCCAGACCAGTGCTTCTCCCAGACCAGTGCTTCTTCCAGACCTGTGCTTCTTCCAGACCTGTGCTTCTCCCAGACCTGTGCTTCTCCCAGACCAGTGCTTCTCCCAGACCTGTGCTTCTCCCAGACCAGTGCTTCTCCCAGACCTGTGCTTCACCCAGACCTGTGCTTCTCCCAGACCTGTGCTTCTCCCAGACCAGTGCTTCTCCCAGACCTGTGCTTCTCCCAGACCTGTGCTTCTCCCAGACCTGTGCTTCTCCCAGACCTGTGCTTCTCCCAGACCTGTGCTTCTCCCAGACCAGTGCTTCTCCCAGACATGTACTTCACCCAGACATGTACTTCACCCATATCTGTGCTTCTCCCAGACCAGTGCTTCTCCAAGACTTGTACTTCACCCAGACCTGTGCTTCTCCCAGATGTGTGCTTCTCCCAGACCAGTGCTTCTCCCAGACATGTACTTCTCCCAGACCTGTGCTTCTCCCAGATCTGTGCTTCTCCCAGACCTGTGCTTCTCCCAGACCAGTGCTTCTCCCAGACCAGTGCTTCTCCCAGACCTGTGCTTCTCCAAGACCAGTGCTTCTCCCAGACCTGTCCCCTCAAGGAAGGTTCCTTGATGTTGGTGAGGGGCTCTTGATTTAGGGAATTGGATCTCTGCTCCAGTTCCCCAAATTAAGCCTGAATGCCTTCCACATCCCCCCCAGGCGCTGTATAATCCTCCGGGTTTAGCACTTCCCCCTTGATTGTAATAATAATCCCAGACCTGTGCTTCTCCCAGACATGTACTTCTCCCAGACCTGTGCTTCTCCCAGACCTGTGCTTCTCCCAGACCTGTGCTTCTCCCAGACCTGTGCTTCTCCCAAACCAGTGCTTCTCCCAGACCTGTGCTTCAACCTGACCAGTGCTTCTCCCAGACCTGTGCTTCTCCCAAATCAGTGCTTCTCCCAGACCTGTGCTTCTCCCAGACCTCTGCTTCACCCAGACCAGTGCTTCTCCCAGATCTGTGCTTCTCCCAGACCAGTGCTTCTCCCAAACCTGTGCTTCTCTCAGACCTGTGCTCTCAGACCTGTGCTTCTCCCAGACCTGTGCTTCTCCCAGACCAGTGCTTTTCCCAGACCTGTGCTTCTCCCAGACCAGTGCTTTTCCCAGACCTGTGCTTCTCCCAGACCAGTGCTTCTCCCAGACCTGTGCTTCTCCCAGACCTGTGCTTCTCCCAGACCTGTGCTTTTCCCAGACCTGTGCTTCTCCCAAATCTGTGCTTTTCCCAGACCAGTGCTTCTCCCAGACATGTACTTCTCCCAGACCTGTGCTTCTCCCAGACCTGTGTGCTTCTCCCAGACCAGTGCTTCTCCCAGACATGTACTTCTCCCAGATCTGTGCTTCTCCCAGATCTGTGCTTCTCCCAGACCTGTGCTTCTCCCAGATCTGTGCTTCTCCCAGATCTGTGCTTCTCCCAGACCTGTGCTTCACCCAGACCTGTGCTTCTCCCAGACCGGTGCTTCTCCCAGACCTATGCTTCTCTCAGACCTGTGCTTCTCCCTGACCAGTGCTTCTCCCATACCTGTGCTTCTCCCAAACCAGTGCTTCTCCCAGACCTGTGCTTCTCCCAGACCTGTGCTTCTCCCAGACCAGTGCTTCTCCCAGACCTGTGCTTCTCCCAGGCCTGTGCTTCTCCCAGACCTGTGCTTCTCCCAGACCTGTGCTTCTCCCAGACCTGTGCTCCCAGACCTGTGCTTCTCCCAGACCGGTGTTTCTCCCAGACTTATGCTTCTCCCAGACCTGTGCTTCTCCCAGATCTGTGCTTCTCCCAAACCTGTGCTCCCAGATCTGTGCTTCTCCCAGATCTGTGCTTCTCCCAGACCTGTGCTTCTCCCAGACCTGTGCTTCTCCCAGACCTGTGCTTCTCCCAGACCAGTGCTTCTCCCAGACCTGTGCTTCTCTCAGACCAGTGCTTCTCCCAGATCTGTGCTTCTCCCAGACCTGTGCTTCTCCCAGATCTGTGCTTCTCCCAGATCTGTGCTTCTCCCAGACTTATGCTTCTCCCAGACCGGTGTTTCTCCCAGACTTATGCTTCTCCCAGACCTGTGCTTCTCCCAGACCTGTGCTTCTCCCAGATCTGTGCTTCTCCCAGACCTGTGCTTCTCCCAGATCTGTGCTTCTCCCAGATCTGTGCTTCTCCCAGACCTGTGCTTCTCCCAGACCGGTGTTTCTCCCAGACTTATGCTTCTCCCAGACCTGTGCTTCTCCGAGACCTGTGCTTCTCCCAGATCTGTGCTTCTCCCAGATCTGTGCTTCTCCCAGACCTGTGCTTCTCCCAGATCTGTGCTTCTCCCAGATCTGTGCTTCTCCCAGACCTGTGCTTCTCCCAGACCAGTGCTTCTCCCAGACCTGTGCTTCTCCCAGACCTATGCTTCTCCCAGACCGGTGCTTCTCCCAGACCTATGCTTCTCCCAGACCTGTGCTTCTCCCTGACCAGTGCTTCTCTCAGACCAGTGCTTCCCCCAGACCTCCGCTTCTGGCAGATCTGTGCTACTTCCAGACCACTTAGACTAGACCTAAAACAGTTGCCTAGCATCAAGGCTTCTACTTACTGCTAGCGAATGGGGCTAGCAGAAGTAAGAAAGCATTCCCAATGTTTCTTCTTGCCTGGGGAGTGAACCCGGGTCCCTCAGTTGTGAGCCGAGACAGCAACCACTTGAGCCATGAGCACCCTACCTCTCTTCAACAATTCTCTAATTATGTCTCCTGTTTCTTCTGCACGAAATAAATTATAAATACATAATTAAGAAATAGCGCATTATTATTAGTTACATAACTTATTAGATTTTTTCATGAAAGAGATAAACATGTCGTTCTTAAAACTAGACTAAGTTTTGCCTGAAATCTTTTGCCTCCAAAAGGATTTCTGATTATTATGTATTTTGTAAAGACTGTTTGGAAATAAAGAATCTAATTTAATCCGATCTAGATTTTTTTAATGAGTATTCTTGTCTTTGCAATCGGCATAACTTGTTCTGTATTTTTTTGTGTGTGTGTGTTCTGGTTTACTTTTTCCCAGTATAAGGACACAATGATGAATTACTGGTGGCCCATGCTAAGAAAAATTATGGTGCTCGTAATCAAAAACCCACACTTGATAATAGCATTTTGGCCTGTCCTGGACCAAAACTGTAAAAAGTAAAAGTGGGGAGAAATCACAAGCAATGTTTCACAGGGTTCAGTGTTGGGCCCCTTGTTCACAATTTATATAAACAACACAGATGGTGGCCCATGCTAAGAAAAATTATGGTGCTCGTAATCAAAAACCCACACTTGATAATAGCATTTTGGCCTGTCCTGGACCAAAATTGTAAAAAGTAAAAGTGGGGAGAAATCACAAGGGTTCAGTGTTGGGCCCCTTGTTCACAATTTATATAAACAACACAGATGAGGGAATAAATAGCAATATAAGCAGGTTTTCCGATGACACCATGACAACTGACAAGGACACTAGAGCACTGCAGGAAGATCTGAATAGACTGATGCAGTGGTCGGAGAAGCGGCAGATGCAGTTTAATACAGCCTTTCTTCACTTAGCGATGTACTCGTTTACGGACGCCTTGGACTTACGACGGGCTCTCTGACCAGTATTTATACCTAAATAATGTATATTAGAGATTTCCTCTATTTTGTTTATTTCAATATACAGTACACTACTGTATAAGCAATTAAAAATATACCAGAAATGTTATAAATGGTGCAAAGATGACATTAAAACAATATCAAAGATGGTTGACACAAACTCACTACCATTATAGTATGCTCCTCACTTAGCGAACAAATTCATTTAACGACTTGGTCCTAGGAATATAACTTCGTCGTTAAGTGAAGAGAGGCTGTATAGACAAATGCAAAGTTCTAAGTGAAAAAAAAAAATAACCATGACACTTATAAACTAAGTAATGTTGATCTTAATATCACTGACTGCAAAAAAGATGTAGGTCTGGTTAGCAGTAACCTAACTGCAAGACAACAGTATGTGTTTGCAATAAAGCAAATAGAATTTTTGGGTTCATATCACGAAGTATAAATAACAAGCCCTCGGGTTATTCTTCAGTTCTATATATCATTGATTAGGCCTCATTCATATGGTCACCATATTACAGAATGGATATAAATGCACTGGAAAACATACAAAGAAGGATGACAAAGTTGATTCCACGTGTCGGAAATCTTACCTACGATGACAGACTGAGGGCCCTGAATCTGCACACACTAGAAAGGCATAGCAGTGCTGTATAGCCCTTGTGGCTTAGTGCTTCTTTTTGATTATAATAGTAATAATAGAAAGGCATAGAATTAGGGGGTATATGATTGAGGTGTATAAATGTAAAATAGGAATAAATAAAGGAAATGTAAATAATGTGCTAAAAATATCTAACCAAGACAGAACTTGCAGCAATGGTTTCGAGTTGGAAAAATTTAGATTTGAAAAAGATAAGAAAAGCATTGGTTTGGTAATGGTTAAACTCATGAGTAATGTCATTGAAGCCAAAACATATGGTAGGCAATGCTCTCACTTCAAAAACACTGTCCATGGTTTGATCCCTGGCAAGGGTGGAAACATTGGGCGTGTTTCCTTACACCTGTTGTCCCCGTTCACCTAACAAGTAGGTAGGCAGGTAGCTGTGTGTTAGTCAAATGGTGTGGGTCGCATACTGGGGGACAAGACTGAGGACCCCAATGGAAATAAGACAGTCTCGATGATGTACTGCCTTTCTTTTGTTATCCTGGGTGACTGATAAAAATAGAGTTGATTTTGATTTGTTTGAGGACTGGAAGTAGCCAGAAGTTGAGTTCAAATTAGCAGGATTTTTTATTTTTGTCAATATTTCAGAAGACACTAATGACATCACTCATCTAACATGTGTCCAACTGGCTGGTCTAATACATGTTCACTTGTGCACTGACATTATACAGTTACTATTACAATAATGCAGTTGCCTCCATAACAGTAAATCTACTACTTATTAAATAGTAAAATCATGCATTTTTTTAAATGCATGAAAAAAACATCAAAAATCAATGTGTAGCCATAGCCATAGTCACAAACTTTCACGAATCGAGACAGTGAGTAGAAAGAACACAGCCAATCACAACAAGAAACAGCTGCACACACTGAGGAACAGAAGCTTGATTGTGATTTAGCAGATCTAGAATAATCTGTATACTTACTTGAGAATGAGAGCAATGCATGTGTTATTTTTGCAGCTAATAGTATCTGCACATTTTTTTAGTGTTTCGCATAAATTTAGCTGCATAGCCCTTGTTGCTTAGCACTTCTTTTTTATTATAATAATAATTCGCATAAATTGAGCATTGTTTCACTCAAATTTAGTGCATTTCAGCACATTTTAGGAGAGTCCTTTATATCCAAACCTTAGCCAGTCAGAATTGGGGGCATTTATCTTCTTTTCGTAAGCAGGGATCTTTTTTTTTTTGTAGTACCTGTAGCTGTATAGCCCTTGTGGCTTAGCACTTCTTTTTGATTATAATAATAATGTAGTACCTGTACAGTACATATTCAAATGTTACAAAATCTGAAACTTCCAGTCCCAAGTATTTTGGATGAAAGATTCTCAACTGTATTTCAGTAGTTACAGTAATTATTTACGTATTTAATTATTCAGTGAGAGTAGTTATTTATTAACTTATTTATCATATATTCATGTTCAACTTTAATTATTTTCAACTAATGATGGGTTCATTGTTACATAACCACATCATAAGTCATGGGTGTCTGCTAATCTTGATATTATCACTTTCAACCTAAAATTGAGTTTTGGTATCAGCAAAAATTTTGGTATTGTCACGTCCTTAATCTTTCTCCCTCTAGGGTTTAAATGACACTAGGGTTAAAACAGCTTATTTCTTAGTAAGTTAAGATTTTGTGTGGATTTTTAACCTAGAGGATTAGCCACCCAGGATAATCTAATAAAGTATTAGTAACAGTAATAACTGCAATGCTTTTCACTTGTGTTGTCTGAATATATTATTTTTGTTTTCCAGAGAAAAGGGTCAAGAAAAGTAAGGAAATGTCACCAAAAGGTAAAAAAAGAGAATCACCCAGAAAACAACAGCTTATTAAAGATTTCTTCTCTCCTGTGACAAAGACGAAGAAAAGAGGAAGAGAAGATGAAGTGGGTGAACATAGTCCGGAGAAGAATGGAATTGAGTCCCCCAAGAAAAAGGCAAAGGAAATAGTTGATAGTACTTACCAGGAAGCTGCAAACAATAACAGAACTCCGGAAAAACCTGCAAATGACAAAACCCCAGAAAACCCTGCAAATGACAAAACTCAGGTAAAACCTACAAACAAAACTCCAGAAAACCCCACAAATAACAAAACTCTGGAAAAACCTACAAATGACAAAACTCCGGAAAAACCTACAAACAACAAAACTCCGGAAAAACCCACAAATGACAAAACTCCGGAAAAACCTATAAACAAGACTACAGAAAACCATGCAAACAGCAGAGTTCCAGAAAAAAACACACACAAGAAAAAAATGGAAAAACCTGCAAACGGCAAAACTGAAAAATCTCTAAACAAAACTTATGAAAAATCTGTAAAAACTGAAAAATCTGCAAAGAAAACTGAAAAATCAGCAAACAAAACTGTAAAAATTGCAAACAATAACAACAACAACAACAACAACAACAATAATAATAACAAAATTCCTGAAAAATCTACAAACAGCAATAAAGCTCAAGAAAAATCCACAAACAGTAAAATCCAAGAAAAATCCACAAATATCAGAACTTATAAGAAATCTGCAAACAGTAACAAAAATCCTGAAAAATCTGCAAACAGTAACAAAAATTCTGAAAAATCTGCAAACAGTAAAAAAAATCCTGAAAAATCGGCAAACAGTAACAAAAATCCTGAAAAATCTGCAAACAGTAACAAAAGTTTTGCAAAATCTGCAAATAATAACAACAATGAGACGAAAAGGACTCTTTCAAAAAAATCAACTCAGAAGTCAAAGCAATTGATCGAACGTGAAGTCATCAAAGCAATGTTTGCTGAGGTAAACAAGACAACGGTAAAAAAAATGAAGACAGATAGAAGAAGACTTATTGTTGTACCAGATGAAAATGAAGAAGTTGTTGTCTCTGATGAATATGGAGAACTTATTGTGCCTGATAATCTTGAGCACGGGCAAATTATTGGACCCGCTGATCCTGGAAATGTGGAAAAAGCAGCAGTGAATATTGCATCAAATAAAGACGTAATGGCTTTTGTACCTGAAGATGATGGGACTATCAGTAAACCAGATGATGGGGAAGAAAAGGATGTCGAAGACCTAGGAAGTGACACCCTGGATAGTCCCGACGAGGATGACTCACTTTCTGGTTCTCCATCCAATGATGCCAAGATATTAATGTCTTCAGGTTCAGTGAACAAGGTGAGGATTTCATCCCTGGTTTAGAGAGGGTTGGTTTGATGATGGCAAAAGGCTCATGATTCAAGGAATTGGAGCTACCCTTTCCTCCCTCAAATCAAACCTGATTACCTGCCACCTCTTCCATTATTGTAGTTTAGTATTACTCACTAAGTATTAGAATAATGATACTGTACACTGTAGTGTTCTTGGATAAGAAAATAGTATTTTGATTAGTCTTTTTTTTCTCTCAACAAGTCGGCCGTCTCCCACCGAGGCAGGGTGACCCAAAAAAGAAAGAAAATCCCCAAAACAAAATACTTTAATCATTCAACACTTTCACTTTACTCATGCATCATCACTGTCTTTGCAGAGGCACTCATATACGACAGTTTAGAAGTCCCTCCAAACTGTCAATATCCCAAACCCCTCTTTTAACCCTCTGTTTCAGTTATATCCAGTGGTCCCTCGTTTATCGTTGTTAATCCGTTCCTGGAAGTGTGACGGTTATCGAAATAGATGATTTTCGAATAAATTTTCCCCATAAGAAATAATGTAAATACAATTAACCCGTTCCTGACACCCAGAAGTATTAAAACAAAAAAATTTTTTACATGAAATATAGATGTAGTACATAAACAATACAATGGCACATGATGAATGAAACATTAACAGCATAACACTTACCTTTATTGGTGATTCTTCTTAGTGTATGGAAGACTGGAGGAGGAGACAGATTGGATTAGTTACTGTTTGGAAGGGGAATCCCATTCCATCAACACCTCAGGTACCAAGTCCTTTTCTGGGGTTACATACTTCTCTTCTCTGTTTCTTAATGCCACTAGGACCTGCTTGAGAGTCACTGGAGTACTGTCTGGCAAAAAAAGTGTCCAGAGAGCTCTGTTTCTGGCATCTCTTTAAAACTTCCCTAAAATGGGCTAAGACTCTGTCACTGTACAAGTTGCCAATATGACTTGCAACATCCTTCTCAGGGTGATGTTTCTCCATAAATCTTTCCATCCTACCCCACATTTCAAAAATCTCCTTAATTTCTGAAGAAGGCACCTTCTTCCATCTCTCTTCCTCCTCCTCTGCAGCAAGATTCTGAGCTGCGATCTGTTGCTGTTCCTGCTGAAGCTCTTGCAGCTCCTCAGTGGTTAGCTCTTTGTTGTGGTCCTCCACCAACTCTTCCACATCCTCCAAACTCACATCCAACCCCATGGAACTCCCCAATGCCACAATAGATTTCACAGCTGACATAGGCTCATCAGGGTCAGCTTCCTTGATTTCCTTTTTCTTTGCCACGATGGAAGATATGGGTATGGGGTTTGTTATAAATCCTGGCCAGTTCGGCCACACGTACGCCACTTTCATATTGTTTGATGATGTTTTTCTTAAATTCAATTGTATTTCTCACCTTCTTTACCAAAGGCTTGGCACTAGGAGCTTTCTTTGGAGCCATGGTAGCTTATTTAGCACTTGCAAGCACTAAAATGAATGGAATATTATGAAATATTTTGTATGAACAAGTGAGGGGACTGTCGCTCACTGGTAAACAATGGCACACTGGCTGGGAAGGGAGGCCGAGGCGGCTCAGAGCTGTGAGTATGCGTCCAGGACGAACGACGATTATCGAGTCAACTGATCATTTGCGAGCCAATGTTTGGACGAAAATAACGCAACTATTTCTGAAAAGGATGACTATCGAGCCCGATGATTATCGAGGGACCACTGTATATACGTCTTACGAGCCAGTGTTTTTGACGTATTAATACGCCAAAATTCCAACAGCTTCAGATCAAGCAGGAGTAAGCTGGTAGGCCCCAATGTGAGAGAATGGGTCTGTGTGGCCAGTTTGCGCAGTATTAAAAAATCCTGCAGCACACATTTCATAACGAGAAAATAAAAACTCCGACCGTGTTTTTGGATTAAAATGCTGAATTTGAGGTTTATTTTCATATAGTATTTATGGTCTCATGTGATAGAATGGAAGACATTTTACAGATATATAGATGATTTTGATTGGTTTGATGATGAAAAGGACCTTGAAATTGAGCTCAGATTAGCAGAAATGTTCGATTTTTGCCAATGTTCAAGAGTAAACAAATGATGTCATACTCCAATATGTGTCCAACTAGCCATTCTAATACACAATCACGAATGGGTTGACATTATTTATACAACTATTACAATAATGCATTAGTCTGCAAAACAGTAAATCTATTTTTTGTGTGAATAAAAATTCAAAATAGAAAGCAAGAGTAATATAACAGGGGCCTGGAGACATGACTAATGAACAGAGAAAATGTTATTTTAGTGCCAGGAATGTTTGCATTGTTTATTCTGGACCCTATTTTGTAAATGGCATCTTTTTTAATTTGTGTGAAATTGGCTAAATTGCCAATTTGACCACTTTATTTGGTAGCTGAAATTGGTAAATGGGCGGTTTCTTTTACTCAGTTGATAGAACAGATGGACTTCTAAAGAAATAGGTATGAGTTTGGCCAGCTGGAACAATGGAATTGGCCGAAAATAGGACTCAAAGTGAGTGAAATCGCCTATGCATGTATGTCGCTGACATCACTAGCTTCGCGAGAGCATAATTCCGTAAGTTTTTCATCAAATTTCGTACTTTTGGTGCCATTACCATCGGGAAAAGATTCTCTATCATTTCATAAGAAAAAATAGTTTATTGTTTGGATATTTTGTGACACAAGAGACACTTAGGATTTGGGGCCGCAACAGTCAAAGGGTTAAAGTGCAGGCATTGTACTTCCCATATCCAGGACTCAAGTCTGGCTAACCGGTTTCCCTAAATCCCTTCACTAAATACAGTGGACCCCCGCTTAACGATCACCTCCAAATGCGACCAATTATGTAAGTGTATTTATGTAAGTGCGTTTGTACGTGTATGTTTGGGGGTCTGAAATGGACTAATCTACTTCACAATATTCCTTATGGGAAAAAATTCGGTCAGTACTGGCACCTGAACATACTTCTGGAATGAAAAAAGTTCGTTAACCGGGGGTCCACTGTATTACCCTACTCACACTCCAACAGCTCGTCAGGTCAAAAAAACCATTTGTCTCCATTCATTCCTATCTAACACACTCACATACGCTTGCTGGAAGTCCAAGCCCTTCACCCACAAAACCTCTATTACCCCCTCCCTCCAACCTTTTTGAGGACGACCCCTACCCCTCCTTCCCCTACAGATTTATATGCTCTTCCAAGTCATTCTACTTTGATCCATTCTCTCTAAATGACCAAACCACCTCAACAACCCCTCTTCAGTCCTCTGACTAATACTTCTAATGACCACACATCCTCCTAATTTCCACACACTGAATTCTCTGCATAATATTTACACCACACATTACCCTTAGACAGGATATCTCCACTGCATCCAGCTGCCTCCTTGCCGCAGCATTTACAACACAAGCTTCACACCTATATAAGAGTGTTGGTACCACTAAACTTTCATACATCCCCTTCCTTGCCTCCATAGATAACATTTTTTGTCTCCACAGATACCTCAACATACCACTCACCTTTCCTTCATCAATTCTTTGGTTAACCTCATCCTTTGCAAACCCATCCACTGACAAGTCAACTCCCAAATATCTGAAAACATTCACTTCTTCCATACACCCTCTCTCCAATGTGATATCCAATTTTTCTTCATCTAAATCATTTGATACCCTCATCACCTTACTCTTATCTATGTTCACTTTCAACCTTTACACACCCTCTGAAACTCATCCACTAACCTTTGCAACTTTTCTTTAGTCTCCTAAAAGCACAGTATCATCAGCAAAAATTAACTGTGTCAACTCCCATTTTGTATTTGAGTCCCCAAAATTTAATCCCACCCCTCTCCCCAACACTCTTGCATTTACTTCTTTTACAACCCCATTTATAAATATATTAAACAACCATGGTGACATTACACATCCTTGGCTAAGACCTACTTTTACCGGGAAGTAATCACCCTCTCTCCTGCACGCTCAAACCTATCCTCATTAAACCTCTTTACAGCATTTAGTAACTCACTACAGGTCCGCCATCACAAATCCGGCAATCAGTTATTCGGTTCCTTCAGTTATTCGGCACTAATTTTGGCTAGTATAATTTCAAATTTCCAGGGTCGCCACACGAACCTGCTGGTACTGTTTGGTGGCACTAGTTGCTGCATAAGTCATGCCAGCTTCTTTTTCTCCATTTATTTTTTTAACCTGCTTACTTTTAGCCCTAGCCATGATTCCAATGAATACAAGAAATGCTTCTCATTATGTAAAGCACCTACACAGTACATTATCCATTAAAGATAGGGTGGCTTTGAAGCCACTGTCGGTTGCCATGAGCTCAGTCTCACGAAGCAGGAGAATACACTTTATTATTACGCTAATATCAACACTACAGCTTATTTGCCTATCACAATTGATTTAATATGGCATAATAAACAACATAAATAACATTAACCCTTAAACGGTCCAAACGTATATAGTATACGTTCACGCGCATAGCGCCCCAAACGTATACTATATACGTTTTCTTTGTCATTCATTCAACATTGCCATGATAAGCCTGAGTCACCTAGACATGAGAGAATGGGTGTGCGCACTCACTGTGTACCATGTTAAAATAATTGGGGATGCCTGGGTACCATATGCTCTTTTTTTTCTTTAAAAAATTTTTTTTTTTTTTTTTTCTCAAAAAATTTGGGGCACTACGCGAGTGAACGTATATATACGTTTGGACCGTTTAAGGGTTAAACATGTTAAATACTCCAGAATAAATAATATTTGGCATAACACCGAGCAGTTTGACGAAGGTATGAAGAGGATATGGTATACAAATATCATTCTCCTATCTCTGTCTTGGGGGCTTATGTTAGAGAAAACAACTGCATAAATGGCATCCTTAACACTGAACTCTTTCAGGAAGTCTTGGATTCCTACTCCTCTGTTGACTGCACCAAGTATACAGTTTAAAAAATAGTCTTTATACTTACTCTTCATGGAGCGTAAAATTCCTTGGTCACAAGGCTGTAATACACATGTCACATTAGGGGGCAAGTAGATGCCAAAAACATTACTTTTCACAAGAAGTTTGGCAAGGGGATGTGCAGAGCAATTATCCAGGAACAATAAAATTTTACAGTCTTCTTCTAGTCCAGCTCGCCTGCAATGAGCTTGTGCAGCTGGTACGAATGGTTATTGAACCAGTCGGAAAACATTTATCGGGTTACCCATGCTTTTGGAACTTTCGGTTTTCAGAACTTTTTGAATTTCAGATAAAGGGATGTGGATCTGTATGAGAGGCGACTAAAATGCCAGGGGCAAGGGGCTAGTAACCCCTTCTCCTGTATAAATTACTAAATTTAAAAAGAAAAACTTGTTTTTCTTTTTGAGTCACCCTGCCTTGGTGGAATATAGCCAGCTCATTAAAAAAAAAAAATCAGGGTGAGTCGGGCTCAGACCTGTGGCAGTCTAGCCTTAAACTACCAGGCCATTGTGTTGTCTACCAGCCAGGTGGTTTTAACACTAGCTTACCATGGCTTCAAGCCCCCCACCTGTTCTGTGATTATGAAACTTGTTATTACACACTAGTCACCATTTTTCAGCTTGAATATTTTATAGTGCTTCTTTACCATACTTCTTAGGTGATTAGTGATAATATGGTCACTAAATCCTATGCAAATGATGCCTGATTGACTTTAGTTTTTGTTTTCATAGCAGTCACATGCTATGAGAACTGCATAGTCTGGGTTGCTTCATTAATTTAATTATTTAATCCTTGGATTTGCTTATACACATATATAGCTTATTGTGTTGAAATCAGCTATTGAATTCACCCAGTATTATTCTAACATTTGGGTTCAGTTCAGACAATACTCTTGCAAAGTGTTTGAAAAACTTGTTATAATTGGAAGCGTGGTAAACAGTTCCTACTAGTATTGGTTTCATTTTGAACAGCAACACTTCAAACCCTTGATTCTGGAGATTGTTCAAATTGTGTTATGGTTGTAAGCTGTCACTTTTTATAAGCACCCCACCCCGTATCTGTTTCTATCTGCATATTTTATATTATAGCTCTCAAACTGATCCTTCACTGAACCCATAGGCTCTTGCTGACTCCACGATACTTGCACCACTTTTAAACTTCTGTAATGTATCTCAATTTTCTTCATGACACCACCCTCAAGGAAGGTTCCTTGATGCTGGTGAGGGGCTCTTCATTTAGGGAATTGGATATGTGCTCCAGTTCCCTGAATTAAACCTGAATACCTTCCGCACCCCCCCCCCCTCCCGAGATAAGATAAGATAAGATTTCGTTCGAATTTTTAACCCCGGAGGGTTAGCCACCCAGGATAACCCAAGAAAGTCAGTGCGTCATCGAGGACTGTCTAACTTATTTCCATTGGGGTCCTTAATCTTGTCCCCCAGGATGCGACCCACACCAGTCGACTAACACCCAGGTACCTATTTGCTGCTAGGTGAACAGGACAACAGGTGTAAGGAAACGTGTCAAATGTTTCCACCCGCCGGGAATCGAACCCGGGCCCTCCGTGTGTGAAGCGGGAGCTTTAGCCACCAGACCACCGGGACACTGTATAATCCTGCAGATTTAGCGCTTCCCCCTTGATTATAATAATATTCATAATACCAAGACTTGAATGCATCTAGCCACTACCAGCATCACTCAAATTCTTCCTGGGTGCTATGGTTACTATGCAGACACAAGATAAGATCAAAAGATAGAAAATTGATTTACTTACAGTATGGGGTAGGTTTAAAAATGTAGTGTTAGAGTGTTCAGCAGAAGTTTGTGGTTACAGGAAAGTGGGTGCAGGAGGGAAGAGGAGCGATTGGTGGAATGATGATGTAAAGAGAGTAGTAAGGGAGAAAAAGTTAGCATATGAGAAGTTTTTACAAAGTAGAAGTGATGCAAGGAGGGAAGAGTATATGGAGAAAAAGAGAGAAGTTAAGAGAGTGGTGAAGCAATGTAAAAAGAGAGCAAATGAGAGAGTGGGTGAGATGTTATCAACAAATTTTCTTGAAAATAAGAAAAAGTTTTGGAGTGAGATTAACAAGTTAAGAAAGCCTAGAGAACAAATGGATTTGTCAGTTAAAAATAGGAGAGGAGAGTTATTAAATGGAGAGTTAGAGGTATTGGGAAGATGGAGGGAATATTTTGAGGAATTGTTAAATGTTGATGAAGATAGGGAAGCTGTGATTTCGTGTATAGGGCAAGGAGGAATAACATCTTGTAGGAGTGAGGAAGAGCCAGTTGTGAGTGTGGGGGAAGTTCGTGAGGCAGTAGGTAAAATGAAAGGGGGTAAGGCAGCCGGGATTGATGGGATAAAGATAGAAATGTTAAAAGCAGGTGGGGATATAGTTTTGGAGTGGTTGGTGCAATTATTTAATAAATGTATGGAAGAGGGTAAGGTACCTAGGGATTGGCAGAGAGCATGCATAGTTCCTTTGTATAAAGGCAAAGGGGACAAAAGAGAGTGCAAAAATTATAGGGGGATAAGTCTGTTGAGTGTACCTGGTAAAGTGTATGGTAGAGTTATAATTGAAAGAATTAAGAGTAAGACGGAGAATAGGATAGCAGATGAACAAGGAGGCTTTAGGAAAGGTAGGGGGTGTGTGGACCAGGTGTTTACAGTGAAACATATAAGTGAACAGTATTTAGATAAGGCTAAAGAGGTCTTTGTGGCATTTATGGATTTGGAAAAGGCGTATGACAGGGTGGATAGGGGGGCAATGTGGCAGATGTTGCAAGTGTATGGTGTAGGAGGTAGGTTACTGAAAGCAGTGAAGAGTTTTTACGAGGATAGTGAGGCTCAAGTTTAGAGTATGTAGGAAAGAGGGAAATTTTTTCCCAGTAAAAGTAGGCCTTAGACAAGGATGTGTGATGTCACCGTGGTTGTTTAATATATTTATAGATGGGGTTGTAAGAGAAGTAAATGCGAGGGTCTTGGCAAGAGGCGTGGAGTTAAAAGATAAAGAATCACACACAAAGTGGGAGTTGTCACAGCTGCTCTTTGCTGATGACACTGTGCTCTTGGGAGATTCTGAAGAGAAGTTGCAGAGATTGGTGGATGAATTTGGTAGGGTGTGCAAAAGAAGAAAATTAAAGGTGAATACAGGAAAGAGTAAGGTTATGAGGATAACAAAAAGATTAGGTGATGAAAGATTGAATATCAGATTGGAGGGAGAGAGTATGGAGGAGGTGAACGTATTCAGATATTTGGGAGTGGACGTGTCAGCGGATGGGTCTATGAAAGATGAGGTGAATCATAGAATTGATGAGGGAAAAAGAGTGAGTGGTGCACTTAGGAGTCTGTGGAGACAAAGAACTTTGTCCTTGGAGGCAAAGAGGGGAATGTATGAGAGTATAGTTTTACCAACGCTCTTATATGGGTGTGAAGCGTGGGTGATGAATGTTGCAGCGAGGAGAAGGCTGGAGGCAGTGGAGATGTCATGTCTGAGGGCAATGTGTGGTGTGAATATAATGCAGAGAATTCGTAGTTTGGAAGTTAGGAGGAGGTGCGGGATTACCAAAACTGTTGTCCAGAGGGCTGAGGAGGGGTTGTTTAGGTGGTTCGGACATGTAGAGAGAATGGAGCGAAACAGAATGACTTCAAGAGTGTATCAGTCTGTAGTGGAAGGAAGGCGGGGTAGGGGTCGGCCTAGGAAGGGTTGGAGGGAGGGGGTAAAGGAGGTTTTGTGTGCGAGGGGCTTCGACTTCCAGCAGGCATGCGTGAGCGTGTTTGATAGGAGTGAATGGAGACAAATGGTTTTTAATACTTGACGTGCTGTTGGAGTGTGAGCAAAGTAACATTTATGAAGGGATTCAGGGAAACCGGCAGGCCGGACTTGAGTCCTGGAGATGGGAAGTACAGTGCCTGCACTCTGAAGGAGGGGTGTTAATGTTGCAGTTTAAAAACTGTAGTGTAAAGCACCCTTCTGGCAAGACAGTGATGGAGTGAATGATGGTGAAAGTTTTTCTTTTTCGGGCCACCCTGCCCTGGTGGGAATCGGCCAGTGTGATAATAAAAAAAAAAAAAAAAGAGCTGAGGATGGTATGAGATATTTATGCAGTGTGGCATGAAAGGTTGTGTACATTAAGTGCAGCTAGGCTTGCCTCTTAAAGACAATGGCCTGACCCACAAGATGGAGTGGAACTTTCCCCAGTACAGTTCCATATTTTTACCCTAAAATTGCACAGTTGTGACTTCATGGAGTCATGATAAAGAAAATTCATCAATTTTGTAACCATCAAAAAACCTAAAAATCCTATAAGGTCACATTTTAATGGATGATATACTGTATTTGAATCATATTGATTTATGTACAATAATTTATTGCCTAGCTATACTTTTTGTTTTTTCATGCAGTACCTTGATTATATTATTCCATAAAAAATTAACAATATAAACTTTGATACAGTTATAATTTGATCAACCAACTATTTGGGAAGAAAGCAAATTTATCCTCCATTGGCAAGTAAGGCGGTGATTTCCAACTTAATTATATTAAACTTAACATTAAAAAAATGTTCAGATAATTGAAGAAACTATTCAAGTCTGTTTTTCTCTGCCCATAATGCTCTGCTAACACCAGGTTTTTCAAATTTTAGAAAATAAATGTCACCAAATTTTTTAAAAAATTTTGAACGGTATGTGCATTTTGAAAATAAAATTTGATTGCAGCAGATTTTATTTTATTTTGTTTTATTTCAGGTAAAAAGGACAAGTTTTAATTGCAAAGCTTGTGATCAGTGGTTTCCAAATCGGTACTTCCTTCAAAAACATATGTTGATTGAACATGAAAACCAGCTTTATGAATGCCGTGTGTGTTCCTTTGTTTCTGTGAACCCGGAGAAGTTGAAGAGTCATATCATCAAGCAACACGTCATAAAAAAGGAGCGCGTTGAGCCAGTGTCACTTGATGATATTAAGATTGATCTGGATGAGCTCATGTCAAAACAGGCACCTCGAAAAGTCATGATGGAGGATGGAGTTGCTCTCGGACGAGATGCCAGCAACAAGATGCGTTTTGTTTGTGCAATGTGCGATCGCATATACACAAGTAAATATTCCCTTGAGCGACATGTCCGATGTCACACGGGAGAGAAACCATACGCATGTGATGTTTGTAGTTTTGCTACAAGTTATCGAGAACACATGCAGCGCCACATGACTAGTGTTCATCTTATTGTGCATTCAGATGAGCCTAAACTGAAATATATTCCCAGAAACCGAAAGAAGACTGAAGAAAAAAATGTATCAACAGAGGATGACAAAGAAGAAAAAGAGAAAGATGCAGATGCTGGAAATGAAGATGTAATTGAAATTGACCCTCAAAATAAAAACAAAAATGAAGACAGAAATAGAAATGAAAATAGAAATAGAAATGAAAATAGAAACAAAAATGAAAATACTAATAATGAAAATGGAAATGACAAAAATGAAACTGGAGAAGGAAATGAAGATGTGAGCCCAGACTGTAGCATAAACTCTTCAGACACAACTGATACTACTACATCAGGTGGAAAGAAGAGGCGTAATATCTTACGAAAACGTTTTGAATGTGCTGCCTGTGGAATGAAGGCTACCCATAAGACAGACCTTGTAGAGCACATCAGAGCAAAGCACCCTAATGCTCATATTGAATCTTTGGATAATGGTGATGGCTCTAAGGTCCACCTCATTGTAACTGTCTCAAAGAAGACCAGTGTATCCCGCAAGATGGTCATAACCTGCCCTGATTGCTCCAAAGTCTTCCATGACACTTGGAAATATAAAGTGCACAGGCGATCACATACAGGTGTCAAACCCTTTGGGTGCAGTGTATGCTCATTTTATGCTACTAGCAAGATGACTATTCGTGATCACATTCATCGCAAACACAAGAACTGTGATAACCCCAAAATTCTCCTACGTACGGTGTGTATTGATGGAACAGTAGGACATGTTGAGCTTAGCATGCCACAGCGGGAGTTCAAATGTGAATACTGTGAGGAGAAATTTACAGATAATTATCACTTAAAGCAACACAAGAAGAGAACCCATCAAGAGGCTTTGCCATTCTCTTGCGTTGAGTGTGGGCATAGAGAGTGGGCCCGTGCAAACATCATTATCCACTGTATGCAAAAACACAGTGAAAAAGATCTTGAAGGACTCATATTACGCAACAATAAGCCTTTTAATGTTGGGCCTCACAAGCTTCCTAAGTGTCAGCAGTGTGACAGAGTTTTTCCATACCAGTCACAACTCTATATACATCAGAAGCAGCACACTGGTGAGCGCAGCTTCTTCTGTGATATATGTAGCTATCGCACCAACCTCAAAACTTCCTTAGAGAAGCACATAATGAAACATCTTGATGCTGAGCCTCCGAAAAAATCTCCAGCTAAAAGATCTACAAGGAATAAGGGTACAGAAAATTACCAACCCATCAACTTTGTTGATGTTGATGAGGTCAATGATGATGATGCTGTGGGAAAAGTAAAGAGAGAGAGTGCTAAACGATCACATAAGGTTAAAACAAGTTAAACACGTGCCTTCCATTACATACTGTTTGTGCCTTCAGAGGGACCATGCCTTTTGGCTGTATTTAAATGTCTTCCTAAAAGATTTCCAATTTTATACCTTAAAATATATAGCAGTTGAACTTAGACTGTGGTGCTTCAATATTATATTTAGATACCATGTTGGATTTGTTATATAGATATACAGTAAAGACTACTGTTAACTGTACTTCTAGCTGTAAGGTTTGTTGGAAGGATTTTAAACAATCCAGATCATTTTGTGTGTATTTAACAATTTGTCAACAGTTTGCAACCCAAGGGTCTTCGGTGTTTTTCTACTGATGGCTACTGTGAAATGCGATTAAAAATGCAGGCAAAATAAGACATTGGGTCAAAATGTACATAAAAATGTAGGGTTTAGCACTTCTTTTATTATAATATAAAATTGTAGATAACTGAGGGAAAGTAAAAAAAGTAACATTTATTATAATGCATATGGTATACTGTATTAGTAAAACTAGGTTATAATATGTATTTTTATCTCATAGCATGCAGCTGAGCAGCATTAATGATGCTCCTGGAATATTTCTCATTTCTATACTGATCTTGTAATAGTTGGCTGCTGCTAGTTTTGGTTTTGTTCACTTTATTATTTTTAATTTTAAAATTAATCACACAGTAATTATTGTTGATGTTTTAGTGATTAGTTTGGATGTTCATTTTAACATTGTTTATTCGGTACTGCGCCACTTAAATACTGTATAAGCGTGTACCTTTAACAGGTGAGGTTTGAACCTATAGCAAGCGAGTCCTAAAATTCTCTAATGTTAATTTCCCTACAGTGTATAGAAATATACTAAGTCCCACTGTGATCACAAATGGAGGGTTATACAGATAGATCTCACACCAGAGTGGCTGTGGTGAACTCTAGCTCAAGTCCCCTCAAAGCTACCATCATGACTCGTAATAAAACAACACTGTCTATCATACATGTCTATCATACTGTCTATCATACATGTCGTTACCATTTGCCAGCCGAACCACACCAACTCACTCTGACCGAAACAAGTTGCTGCCAGTCTGGCAACTTTTCACTCTGGCAGTAGGCAGTGGCTGAATCCACAGTGCATACAAGTACAGTTTGTTTTTACTGGCAGACTGTGTGAATAAAATGAATATCACAATCAAAACATTAAAGGAGATGTTTCACCACTTTGTGGCAGAAAGTTTTCTTCAATGTTTGTTGTTCATGAGTGTTTTATTCCTACAGTGTATACAGATTGGTGCATGCTACACTATTTATACTTCAGTTTTGTTTTACTGTTTTATATATGACTTGGAGGGTGTACAAATCTGTAGTGGAGGGGTAGGAGTCATCCTAGGAAAGGATGGAGGAAGGGGGTAAAAGAGGTTTTGTATGCAAGGGGTTTGGACATTCAGCAGGCATGTGTGTGTGTGTAACACAATAGGAATGAATGGCGACGAATGGTTTTTGGGACCTGACGAGCTGTTGGGTGTGAGCAGGTTAATATTTTGTGGAGGGAATTCAGGGAAACAGTTAGATGGACTCAAGTCCTGGAGGTTGGAAGTACAGTGCCCACACTTTAAAGGAGGGGTTTGGGAGATTGTGTGAATGATGGTGAACTTTTTTTTTTTGGGTCACCCTGCCTTGGTGGGAGATGGCTGACGTGTTGATTTTTTTTTTTTTAATGAACTGGCTGTATCCCACTGAGGCAGGGTGACCTAAAAAGAAAGTTTTTCTTTTTAAATTTAGTAATTTATACTTTAGTCACCTCTTACGACATGCATGACTTATGAAGGAAGAATTCTTTTCCACTTCCCTACTGAGATAAGAGAAAATAAGAACAAGAACTAGCAAGAAAATTGAAGAAAATCCAGATGGCAGTTTTATCTTTGTTACACATATAAACCTGATCAGGATATATTAGGTTTCATCTCAAAAGCTGGAAATAATTTTTCTATTTCCATCTTTGTTTTGCACTACATTTAATTTTTTTTCCACTAATCCTTCACTTTATTCTCTAATATTTTTTTATATTTCTCTTGGTCCTATTTTCTGTTGTTTTTGAGACCTATTTTGTCACAACCATGTTAATGGTGGGTGGATCCAGTAGGGAAATGCTAAACAAAATTTACTTTTTTCTTCTGTTCATATATAGAGATTTTGAAAATGCCTTGTTGACATACATATGCATGTATGATTTTAATACATGAATAGGTCCACCCCCCACTTGTGATGTTAAAATTGTAATTTGAGTCAATATTCCATTGCAATGTCATTTATTAAGGTGAGAATATTTACCCAAATATTCTCGGAATAGGAAAAGATGGGGGAGTAAAGGTGGTTTTATGTGCAAGAGGCTTGGACATCCAGCAGGCATGTGTGAGCATGTTAGGAGTGGAGGCAAATGATTTTTGGGACTTGATGAGCTGTTGGAGGGTGAGCAAGGTAACGTTTTGTGAAGGGATTCAGGAAATGAGTTAGCTGGACTTGAGTCCTGGAGGTGGGAAACAAAGTGTAAAGGCGAGGTGGGAGATGGCCAGCAAGACAAAAAAAAAAAAAGTTGAAACGAACCACAGCTACAGCACCGTATATATGTATTATGGTTTGAACATAGCTGTCTCTGACATTAAATTGCTTAGGACTAGCTGTCTCAAATAATTTGTACAAAGTCAGCAGGAAAAATGCATGCACAGCAGCAGCATAAACAGCTCTTACGCTCTCACAACTAAGCTTAATGAAGCCAGGTATCTAACTCTTTCAAATCATCCAGCACTATATGTACAGTGTTGGGAATGCTCTCTGTCCTCACACACTTTTATAATAGGTTAGTTCTTTTCGCTCTATAATCTGACCATAAAGTGAGACCCCTTTCCTTGCTTTCTCAGTCTTATTCGGCCCTTTTGGTCTGTTTATCATTCTTTACAGTATGGGCTGATGAAAAGATGCAAAATCCTTCCATGAACACAATGAATAGCACACAAGATGCTTCCGCAATGCAGCGTAGACACCTTGGATGGTGGTACAGGAAGGGGAGGAGCTAGACCTCTCCAAAACACTAGAACCATATGCTCAGCAAGTCAGAGGGAAAAAACCCACCACATGCATTACCACAAATTTCCTCATAAATCAATCCTCTCATGTTGATTCAGTGTAAGAGCATGCACAAAAGTGCATTGCTCAATTTAATGTCATATTAATAAGTGGTTTATTGTATAATTCAGCCTTCAGCCAATCTTAAATATTATTATCAAAACTAATCACTAAACCTACAAGGTCCATAGAGCGCTGCATTGCAAATATTAAACCTGAGTTCTCTCTATGAGTATAAAATGAACATGGACAAAGTATGAATATACTTGGTAAAACGCTAAGCAAGAATAAATATGTATTTATAGTTCGGCTTTAAGAAAATCTTAAATATTAAATCTATAGTTCTTGACCAATCTCTGCCAAATGTAAGCACTCTATACATGTACATACAAAGTATGAACAAATTTGGTAAAACAATGGACATTATTTTAAATTTGAGTGTTTTCAATGATGACAGTTGTAGGTAAGTGTTGAGAGTAATTACTTGGTGTCTGAGGATCGGTAGTCTAGTAATAGACATATCCATTAAAATAGTAACTTGAGATTTATTATGTGGCTGTCTTAAACTATCCACTTTGTACAGAGTAACACCTTATAGGGAGTTGCCTTCACACTGTTGGAAGGTTCTTGATCCAAGAAATTGGTACTACCTTCCCTTTCCTCAGATCAAATATATTTACCTTCCATTCCCTAAGTGCTGTGCGTTTCCTACGAGTAATGCTTCCCATGATTATAGAAGTGTTGTATAGACTAACTGCTTCCTACAAAAAGTGCTGGATGATAATCTTTGTAGGCCTCCAATCTGATGGCAGCAATGGCCCAGTTGCTCATGCTGTCAGTGGGAAATCTGGTCTTGGATCACTCACTGGTATGGTCTCTGGAAGAACTTAACATCTTTCTTTTCTTTCATACATGTATTTAACCCTTTGAGGGTCCAAACCGTAGATCTACGTCACAAGCTCAGCTCACTCTGATAAGCTGTGAGCGGTAAATTTTGGCCTAGATATGAGAGAATACATCTGTGTGGTATGTGTGCAGGACATACAACAAATCCTGCAGCACACAGTGCATAATGAGAGAAAAGAACCGAGACCGTAATTTTCAATTAAAACAGTGACTTTGCAGTGTTTTTTCGTATGTTTTTATAGTTGTATTTGCAATTTCTTGGTCTCATTTGATAGAATGGAAGATATATTACAGAAATAGAGAAGATTTTGATTGGTTTTAGCACTGAAAATGGCTTGAAACAGCTCAAAGTTGCAGAAATGTTAAAGTTTTTGCTGATGTTCAAGAGTAAACAAATGACCTCACACGTCGAATACACGCCAGCTGTTGGGTCTTATATATGTTCACAAATGTGGTGATATTATTTATATAATTATTACAATATTGCATAACAGTAAATCTTCTATTTTTTGGTTTGAATAAAAATTCATTATGCGAATAAAAAATAAAAATGGAATTCATTGGTAAAGCCTCAAAACGTAACAAATGAACAGAGGAAATGTTAGTTTAGTGCCAGGAATGCCTTCATTGTTTATTCTGGACCCTATTTTGAAATTGGAGAATTTTGAACTTTGCATTAAATTGGCCTAATTACAAATTTCCCATCACTTTATTTTGTAGTTGAGACAGTTGACTTGGCGAATTCTTGTGCTCAATCGATAGAAAAGAAGTAATACTAGCGAAATAGCTAAGAATTTGGTCGACTGGAATAATGTAATTGGCCTAAAATGGGAGTCAAAGTCGGCAAAATCGCCGATGCGTAAATATTTATGACACCTCAAAATTCGTGAGAGCATAATTTCATCAATTTTCATCAAATTTCAGTCATTTTGTTTTATTACCTTTAGAAAATGATTCTCTACCATTTCATAAGAAAAAATAACGAAGTTATTTTTTAAATTTTCTTGGACACTGGTGCACACTTTGAAATTTAGCCTCTGGGCCCTGAAAGGGTTAACTCTTTCACCGTCGAGACCCCTGCTTGCAAACTTGCTCTCAATGTCGAAGATTTTAAATAAAAAAAAATTTTTTTTGAAACGATAATCTTTTCCTGATGGTAATGAAACCAAAAGTATGTAATTTGGTGGAAAACTTACGGAATTACACTCTTGCAAAGTTAGCTGTCTCGGCGATATTTGTGCAGCAGTGATTTCACCCACTTTGGGTCCTATTTTTGGCCAATGCCATTATGCCAGTCGCCCAAACTCTTAGCTACTTTTTATAGAGCTTCTTTTGTTCTAACGACTGAGTACGGGAAGTCGCCCATTTACCTGTTTCAGCTACCCAATAAAGTAATCATAGGGTCCAGAATTACCGTATTTCACAGCTTATTAAATTTTTTTTTTTTACATGTTTCCAAAAACCACCCTGCATCCTATAAACCGTAGGTCAGTGACAGGAACTATAAGTTTGAGGTATGGGGTGGGCTGTAGCTCTCCCAACTACGTCTGATGCCGAGCCATTGAAACTAAAACAAGTCTTATAAGCAACACAATACAATAATGCAGACATTCCTAGCACTAAAATAACATTTTCTCTGTTCATTAGTCACGTTTCCAGGCCTCTTATATTATGCATGCTTTCCATTTTAAATTTTTATTCACACAAAATAGAAGATTTGCTGTTATGCAGACTACTGGATTATTGTAAAAACAGTATAAATAATATCAGTGCATTTGTGAAAGCATATTGGACCCACCAGTTGACATGTATTGGACACGTGACGTGATTTGTTTACTCTTGAACATCGGCAAAAATTGAACATTCCTGCTATTTTGAGCTCATTTTCAGGGTACTTATCTGTAAACCAATCAAAATCATCTATTTCTGTGATATGTATATCTTCCACTATCAAATGGGACCAAGAAAATGAGAATACAGTGGACCCTCGACTAACGATATTATTTCATTTCAGATGTCTGTTTGGGTGCCGTTACCGACCGAATTTGTTCCCATAAGGAATATTATGAAATAGATTAGTCCGTTTCAGACCCCCAAAAATTCACGTACGAAAGCACTTACAAAAATACACTTACATAACTGGTCGAGTTGGGAGCTGATCGTTAGTCGAGGGTCCACTGTACAACCATAAATGCCATACAAAAACACACTGCAAAGTCTCTTGTTTTAAACCAAAAACACACAGTTTTTTCTCATTATGCTCTGTGCTGCAGGATTTTTTTTTTTTTATATTGCACACTGACCACCTAAACCCATTCTCTCATATGTAGGCCTACCAGCTATCTCCAACAAGAGTGGAAGCCGTTAGAATTTTGATGTACTATTATGGGACCGACACTGGCTTGCAAACCGTAATAATATGGGACCGACACTGGCTTGCAAACCGTAATAATATGGGACCGACACTGGCTTGCAAACCATAATACGTATTACAGGACCGACAGTGAAAGGGTTAACAAACCAGTCGTTCAAACTTTTTTCTCCCCGCTTGCTTTCTATACATTACTCATCACTCCAACCATTTATATTATCAATGGTATATGTACAGTACCGAAAAGTTGATAAACAAGACACGCAACACAATGGAACCTCGGTACTCGAACAGGTCCATACTCGAACAATTCGTTATTTGAATGCTTTGTTTGGTAAACAAATCGCTCAGTAGTCAACCAAACAAACACGACCTGCCAGAACTTCACTGTAAACTATTTCGTGTTTCTTCGCATTTTTTTATTTTTTTTATATTATTTGTATAAATAAGTCACCATGGGGCCTAAGAGGGTTAGTGATAACAAGCCAACCAAAAGCAAAATTCGTTTTGTACTCTAACAGCCATCTGGAACCAATTAGATTCGAGTACCAAAGTTCCACTGTGTATTATTATTATAATAACAAAGCACTTAATGACACATAGTATAAATCTCACCAAAACTAACTATCTTGTTTAGTAAATTTCTGCTATATATGGCATAGGTCCCTTGTGTACACAAATAACCCGCACATAAAAGAGAGAAGCTTACGACGACGTTTCGGTCCGACTTGGACCATTGACAAAGTCACATTGACTTTGTCAATGGTCCAAGTTGGACCGAAACGTCGTCGTAAGCTTCTCTCTTTTATGTGCGGGTTATTTGTGTATCGTTCCAGTCACGGTATTGTGCCTTTTTTTGTTATTTATTGTCCCTTGTGTACTTTAGACAACAAAATATTTGCCTGCACAGCTGGCATCTTCCATCAAAGACTTCAAAATAGTAAAATGCATAAGATAACCGAATGTTGCATGTTTGTCTTATTCATGAGTTTTAGTATTCTCTCAGCCTCACTAATATCATACTCTCACCTCATCCTTCATTCTAATATATCTCATTCCTCCTTATCTACAGCATAAAATTTTTGCTTTCATTTCATCAACATTCAATACATTTTCTCTGTCTGACACTTCTACCTTCATATAAAATTATTTTTTGTGGGATGCTGGGCAGGGAAACTGGTGATATTGTTCTCAATCACCCTAATACAAAAAGAACCATATATATATAGACTATTGATGTGTCAAAATAATATTAAAATTAATAAGCTGTAAAAAATACTGCAAAATGTTATTACAATTAAAAGTTGCAAAAAATACAGGAGATTTCAATTGAAAATCTCCATAATGATTATTGGTTGGAGACCACTGGTGTAACCAGTTACTTTCCTCATGAAACTTGCTAGTGATGTTAATGTATTTTAGAAAGGTAAGATTGGATTACCTACTGTATTTTCCTGCATATAAGATGCACGAGCATACAAGACATTCAAGACGACGTTTCCGAGCAGTCGTAACATAACGTTAATAAACACTGCTAAAGTGTAACAAAAGCCAACCCTTGACCCCAGACCTTGAGCATCTAAGGCACAGGCTGATTTTCCAAGATTTTTGGGGGGAAAAGTGCACCTTATATGCCAGAAAATACATTAGTTTCTACATTTTTTTACTAATATATTTGTCTCAAAAGCTTGAGATCATATTTTTGCCTTGACTTGTATTGTCTTGATTATTATTATAATCAAAAAGAAGCGCTAAGCCACAAGGGCTATACAGCGTATTGCCTTGAAATGAGAATTAACTACATTAAACTTTTTGTGTACTGCATTTTTATAAATAGATCCATTGTGTATAGGGAAAAATTGTATTAAATTTATGCTTTAACCTGGTTGGCACTTTGTTTAAAATTATATTTATACAACCCTCATGTTGAATGGGAAAATTTGTTGTACTGTATTAGTTTGTTTTGTATTATTTGAACTAATATATGATGTAAGTATACAGTGCTCGTCACGGCATTATGCTGGGTGAGCGCCCCGGCATAATGCCGGGTGAGCGCCACGGCATAATGCCGGGTGAGCGCCACGGCATAATGCCGTGATGAGCACTGTACAGTCAGCTTTCTTATAAAGCTACTCTATATAGTGTTTTTTTATAATTGTGATTGAAAAATACATTAAGAACTGTATAGCACGTGGAAAGGCTTTCATAGTACAAGCCGTTTAATTTTGTAGGAACTTTTTTAGTTACATTTACCTTTACAAGAGTTTGTTATATTGTGTCTTGTAATTCACAACACTGTAGTTTATGTACATCGATTGTTACGTATTAACAAGCAACAGTGTTGAAGCCAGTTGTGACATGTGTGATGGACTGTGACACCTGCTAAGCCAGTGACAGATGAAGCATAGATGACTATGTCTTCCCATTTAAAACTAGAGCCTTCCCTTATGTGCCTTAATTAATCACTTTTTGTGAACCACTGTCGGCCCTGCACGACCCACACGGGCTTAGTCCTCGTCCATTGATGTGATGACTATAATGATAATGACAGTGCCTCTTTATGCGCCATTGTTGGTACTTATTATTTATGTAGCTATTTGACAAAGAGTATTTAGTAATCCTTAACCAGATTTTTTTTATTATATCTAACAAAAATGTTCATAAGCTTTAAGCTTTAATAATAATAGTAGCAATAATAAAACATTTATAGCAGATTTGAGTTCTTAGTTTTAATATTAGTGTTAAGTATTTTGATGTACTTTTAAGTACTTTTCTTTTACCAGTTTCTTCTAGTACATTTATATCTTGAATGTTCGAAGTCTTTGTTGTCTTTAATTTTAACATAGACTGTACTGATTAAATTATAACCATCTTTATCAAACCATGAAAGTGGGTTTATTTAAACAGTTAATTTTTGAATTTATATTGTTGAATGTACAGTTTCTTCAACTGTATTACATGAACACCTCAGAAATGCCAGTACAGGTACTGTACTGTATATGCAATTTTAAATAAATAACTTTTTGACAATTTTTTGTGTCCTTTATGTACCTAGTAACTAGATGTGTGGTGGATATCTATTAATTAGTTATTAGTTAATCTTAAGTTAATTTTAAGCCTGCCCATAATGCTCTGCAAACAAAGGGCTTTGGCATGCTGCACTTTAAAAATTGTATTCCTTGTACTTCTCTGTATCATGTTCAAATTAAATAAATAAATAAATACTGATTATACAGCAATGCAAGCAAGCATACGACCTGTTTTTGTAATACTCATTTGTGCTTAATTGTTATCTGTTTACAATAATGTTTTACCACTGAATACTTCATTGCTTAGTTAATCTTAGTTAATTTTAAGCCTGCCCGTAATGCTATGCATTCAAGTGGCTTTGGCATGCTGCATTTAACTGTATTCTTTTGTACTTCTCTGTATCATGTTCAAATTAATAAAATAAAAAGAATAAATCAGTAAATACATATAGAGGTAAACCACAATAGTCAAAGCACACCATGATAATAATTTCCATGGGAAAGTAGAGAAGAATACTTCCTCTGTAATCCATGCATGTCATAAGAGGCAACAAAAATGCTGGGAGTGAGGGACTAGTAACTACTACTGTATAAATTACTAAATGCAAAAAAGAAGCTTTTGTTTCTTCTTTTCTGGCTCACCCTGCCTTGGTGGGAGACAGCTGGCATTTAAAAAATAATACATAGGCTTCTCAAGGAAGGTTGCTTAATGCTGGTAAAGACTTGCAGCTGCATTCTTCTGTAGACTGAACCTGAATTCCTCCCATTTTACCAGGTGCTGTTTGATCCCTATGTGTTTAACACTCCCCATGAATGCAGCCAGTTGATGTCAACAAGGGACTTTAGCCAAGGAATTGTATTTGTTCTCTTTCCTTGAATCATACCTGCTTGTTTCCCATTCCTCCAAGTTAATATAATAATTTAAAACTTGCATAAATATTATAATGAATTACAATTCATTACAGACTCAAGTGGCTAACGCGACGGGCTGGAGTTTTGAGACTCTATGACCGCGGGTTCAATCCCGGCCGGGGGTATGGTTAATTCATTACAGTTTTGCATGCTGTAAGGAATGCCTTTGTTGGGTCAAGCATTTCAGACAAACTAGTACTTATGAACTAATGGGCAGCACTGTATGAACCTTATGAGTTTAGCACTTAGTTATGATCATAATACGAATAATAATTAGTATAGGTAATTAGGTAAGAATGATATGCTTCTGTCCTAGAGGTGGGAAGTACAGTGCCTGAATTGAAGGAGGGGTGGGGATGTTGTATGATGTCTGCACACTTTAAGGTAAGACAGCTATTGAATGAATGATTTTCAATGTACAGTGGAACCTCGTTTTTTTGCTGTAATCTGTTCCAAAAGGTCGGCCTAAATTTGAAGCAATATTTCCCATAAGAATTAATGTAAGTACAACTAATCCATTGGAGACCCAAAAATATTAACAAAAAATACATTTTTTAAAGATTAATTATAGTTTTACATACACAAAACAATGAGAACTAAATACATAGATAAATGAACATTTAAATCACTATTACATACCTTTATTGAAGACTCTTGTTGGCTTATGGAGAGACGGAGGACTGATTATTGTTTGGAAGGGAAATCCCGCTCCATAAGGACTTTAGGTATCAAAACCCTCTCTGGGGTTACTTCCCTGCCTGCCTGCTACACTCCCTGCCTCCCTTCCACACTCCCTGCATGCCTGCTACACTCCCTGCATGCCTTCCACACTCCCTGCCTCCCTGCTACGCTCCCTCCATGCTACACTCCCTGCATGCCTGCTACACTCCCTCCATACTACACTCCCTCCCTCCCTTCCACACTCCCTGTTTCCCTGCCACACTCGCTGCTACACTCCCTCCATGCTACACTCCCTGTTTCCCTGCCACACTCCTGCCTCCTGCCACACTCCCTGCATGCCTGCTACACTCCCTCCATGCTACATTCCCTGCCTGCTACACTCCCTGCCTACCTGCTACACTCCTTGCCTGCCTGCCTGCCACACTCCCTGCCTCCCTGCTACACTCCCTGCATGCCTGCTACACTCCCTGCATGCCTGCTACACTCCCTGCATGCCTTCCACACTCTGCATGCCTTCCACACTCTCTGCATGCCTTCCACACTCCCTGTTTCCCTGCCACACTCCCTTCCTCCCTGCTACACTCCCTCCCTCCATGCTACACTCCCTGCAGGCCTGCTACACTCCCTGCCTGCCTTCCACACTCCCTGTTTCCCTGCCACACTCCCTCCCTCCATGCTACACTCCCTGCATGCCTGCTACACTCCCTCCCTCCATACTACACTCCCTGCCTCCCTTCCACACTCCCTGTTTCCCTGCCACACTCACTGCTACACTCCCTGTTTCCCTGCCACACTCCCTGCATGCCTGCTACACTCCCTGCCTGCCATGCTCCCTGCCTCCCTGCTACACTCCCTGCATGCTACACTCCCTGCTTGCCTGCTACACTCCCTGCCCATGGTGGCTTATTTTGCAGTCGCCTTAATAAACAAGCCACATCAGTTTCCTAATATGGCTGATATACGAGGCAATGGCCGAAATATGGAGCAAAATTTCTGCAAAAAAAAAAACAGCCTAAATACGAATTGGCCGATAAACGCAGGAGGTTCCACTGTATTTGTTTCCATTTTTTTTAGTCTACGTTGGTGGAAGATAGCCATTGTGTTAAAAGATAAAAAATATTTAGCTTTTATGTGACATTTCAGCATGATTTCAGCAGCACTTAGGAAAGGAACCTCATGATAACGCTTGGATCACTGGCAAGATACAAATATTTTCTGTACATAATGGGGTAATTTAGAATACAATGTGACTTGGTTGACAATGGGAAGGTTGCTTAAGATAGAATAAACTGGTTGGTGTTTTAAGACAACTGACATAGTAAATGTGTCTAGTTGTATTGTGTCTTAATATGTATTACAGCCTCTTCATTTAACAATGGGTTTCCGTTCCTAAGAGTAGGTTGGTAAGTGAACTGGTTGTTAAGTGAGGAGCATACCGGTACTGTGTCAACCATCTTTAGATATATTTTTAATGGCAACTTTGCACCATTTATAACATTTCTAGTATATTTTTAAATGTTTATACAGTAGTGTACTGTAGTGACTGGTCCGAACCCTTGACTGGTCCGAACCCTTGACTGGTCCGAACCCTGGACTGGTTTCAAACGGTTTCGTTGTGCACTACCTAGCAGGTTATTAATAGAATATTCAAGAGGTTGCTAGTAGAATTGCAGTAAATCAACCATTCAAATCATTATGAAGCTGTGTGTAGTCTGTGGTCAGTCAAACAAACGGGCTTCCACATGCATAAATTGTCATTTCTGTGGAAATTGGTGTCACGCCCCTTGTGCAGATATCCAAGAACTACTACAAGCAGTATTAAAACAGGGAAGTGTTTTTGGGTATGCCCAAATGAGATAAATCTGTGGACTAAAATCACAAGGGTATTAAAAGAGGTCAACATCAAAGCTGCTTTCATAGAAAACCTGGAAGCTTTCTACAACAGATGGGAACATAAAAAGTCTGGGCTGAATGGTACTGCCCTTGATACTGGCCATGTAGTCAGAAACTGTAAGGCTGGAGATGATGTCCTGGTAGTCAGTAAATGGGGGGCTGATAGTGCTGTCCTGGGAGACAGTAATGGTGAAGCTGGAGGTGCTGTCCTGGGAGACAGTAATGGTGAAGCTGGAGGTGCTGTCCTGGGAGACAGTAATGGTGAAGTGGAGATGCTGTCCTGGGAGACAGAAATGGGGAAGCTGGAGATGCTGTCCTGGGAGACAGTAATGGTGAAGCTGGAGATTTTGTCCAGGTAGTCGGGAATTATACGCAGGAAGGAATACATATAAATGACCTCATAGGGGACAGGAGCCATAGTAGGGAAACAAGTGTAGTCAAAGATAAGATAAAACCAATATTGCAAACTAGAAATACCGCAGGAAATAGCAAACAAGAGGACTCCACTAGCAATAGTGAGGATATATTACCAAAAACAACTGGTGGGAGCTCCATTGTTGGTGCTAGGGAGGATAGAAGTAAGACAGGGGAAACATGCACCAACAGGGAATACAGTCACAGAAAACCCAAGGCAAACGGAAACCAAGCCTGTGCACATACTATGCACTCGGTATCTGCTGGCATGGGAAATCTGGAAAAATAGATGGGACGTGCAACTATGACCACCCTAGAAAATGCCATGCCCATATGACAACAGGAAAATGCAAACTCCCTTCCTGTAAGCTTTTTCACCCTGAACTGTGTACCTCCTCAGTACAGGAAAGACTGTGCTATAACTTAAATTGCCAGGCATACCATCTAAAGGGAACAAAAAGATACAAAACATCCAGGCCATGGGAAAACCTGGGTAGCCACAGCCACTCAAGAGGGAGAGGTTTTTTAGTGCCAGGAAGGAAAAAAAACTGGCAGGAAATGGCAGAAATCGTACACCAAATCCAGTCATTCCTGGAGTGGAACCACAGTCGATGGCTCTCCACTCCAAACCAACAGATACAGATACTAATGCCGGAAAAAAAATCCCCCCCCAGTACCAACATACCACCAGTCGATAACATTCTTCTTTGCAAATATACAGGGTCTAAAGCCAGCAACAAACAACAAAATACCTTTCATCCGTGGACTGCTTGCAGAGGCAAAGGCAATGTTCGCGGCTTTCACTGAGACCCACATAAAGGATCACTTGGACAACGAGATATGGATCCCAGGTTACAACCTATACAGATGTGACAGAGTGAACAGGCAAAAGGGGGGGGTTGGCCTGTACATTGCAGAGTCACTTGTTTGCACAGAACTGCTAAATGCCTCAAATGATGTAGTGGAAGTTTTAGCAGTAAAGGTCGAGAGCCAAAACCTAGTCATTGTGGTAGTCTACAAGCCTCCGGATGCAACATCCCAGCAATTCCAGGAACAGCTGTTAAAAATTGACCACTGTTGGAAAACCTTCCAGCTCCTGCA